GCAGATCCACTGAGCTCTCAACACAGACAGCATCGTCAGAAGAAAAGTTGATAAAATAAATAAAAAAAATTTGTATTGTTTGATACATATGCATACCAAACCGAAAGCACTGTATCGAACGGTTCAATATCGATACGAGTATCGTTGCACCCCTAGCAAATACAGTGAGGGGTGGCCCTATTAACCAGCTTAACCTTAATGCCTTTCTTAATGTATCTGCTGTTGTAGAGGCCATGTCCCAATCAATTAGATGTCAACCGTTGAGTTTCATCTAATAGAAAGTGTTTGTACAGTGCAGCGGGGCAGCTCGTTCTCATTTTGTCGGGTCTTGCCTTCATGGTTTTTATGTTTTTTCTTTCTTTGATGGATATCCTGTATGTCTTATTAGGTACCTAATATTTTGCCTCTAATTAACACAAGTTGTTTCTTTTTCAACCCCCCATATATACTGTGACTTTCACAGCACGCAGTTATTGTAATGAGACATCACTAGAGGGCGTCAACATTGTATATTAATGTTGAGGAGAGCTACACGGTTCAAGTTTCACATGCACGTTCTTGGAATTAACACGTACTGTCCACGAGTGTCGTGCATTAAACAAGCTTGTGGGAATCTGTGCAAGAACAGCCTCACTTCTTTTGACAACTTGCTCATTTAAAAAACACACACACAAAAACAAACTGCAGTGTTGTTTTTTACATCACCAGTTATATTTAATGTTTTTCAGAGTGGCATTGTGAGAATCTGCTGAATGTGTTAGTCATTATTGGACCCAAGGTAAGTAAACAGTCCTTATGCACTAGTTTTGTTTTGTTTGTTTCTTTGTGTGTATGCTTTTGTTTTTGTTTTTTTCCCTTTTCTGCCATGTGCCTCTGTACTGTCACTCTGTGTACTGCTGAAATTACCTAGAAACATCCCCCGGGAATTGAGGCAGCCTCTAATTGGATAGAGCAGACATACAGGCTTTAGTTGTTATGCTGGAATTAACGGACAGTGCTGGGAGGAAATGTCTTCTGAATACTGGGGAAGGGGTCAGCTGTAGTGGTGGTTTGGTTGTTTTGTTTTGGGGGGGGGGGGCATTACCTGCTTCACATTACTTGCCTTTTACTAATGACCTGTGTGGAAGTGGAGCAAACTCATTTTAATCCTCATAATATGTGTCTGCAAGTGTACGGGGAGCACAAGTTACAGGTTTTGCCGCCCTGTCACATATAATCATGTTTCTGTGCTGTGTGTCTCCCTGAAAACATTAAGTGCTCAGGTACAAGCTGTGCGTCTTCATGTCAAACAGTGCAAATAAATAAGTGGAAAATAGCAATTGAACTCTCAAACCCTGTCGTGAATAACCTCGTGCATCAATCAACTAGTCTCTCACACAATCAAATTATAGTGTTTTTATTTATTTATGTTAATATTTTTTTCTTTTAAAAAAAAAATATCAGGTTGCAGTTTTATGTTAAAATTCTTGTCATATCCCAGAGAACAGCAGCAGCCTCGGTTCTTTGTTTTTCTCTCACCTATTGTTTTCTGTTTGCATGTCTTCATCTTCTCTTCTCCCCCCCACCCGACTCGCTTTGATACGGCATCAATGTACAGTACTTTAGCATCTGTTCTTTCTTTCAAACAGTGGTCTCAGGCAAAAGGTACGTACTGCTTTAGCTTTGCACAGAACCAACTCAATTAGGCATGGCCACAGGCTTGTATGCACCGTCTTACTGCCGCTTCTTGCTTTTTCACGAGGCTTTGCTGCTGCTGCCGTTTGATGAAACGGTTCAGTCGAAGCAGAAACATGTGATTCATCGTGACACGTCTGAATCACAGGCATGTTTGTTCAAGAAATGGAAAGATATTAATTTTATACTAAAAATGTTTTCGTGTGACAGCCAGATTTCAGCTGTGTTAATTTAAGGATTATATATTTTTTGTGGAACAGTGTTGAACAGATTAAACAAAGTGAAGGAAAAAAGATCTAAAAATGCGAAGAGGAGGTGGAATGAGACATCCCTCGCTCAGGCTGTCGTGACATCACAGAAATCAGTATTGCTACTTCATTCAAGTAATAAGCGCTGTGGCTTTGCAGCATCTGTCATTAAGAGGAAAATTCAGGTCAGTTTGTCAGCGATGACACATCTGAACTCTCTGTAAATGGGCTTTAAATTACAGAGTAAAATAAATCTGGACAATTCCAAAAAGGGAACGTTATCTCCTGTAACGATAGCAGGCTTTCACCTTATTTATTTGCTGAAAGCAAAAATGAAATCTAATTATATCTCTCTCAAACATCAGTAAAGGTATGACAAATTTATTAGAATGAACAGGAACACTGAAGCTTTCGCCGTATGACGTAGCTTTGTTGTTTGTTTGTTTTAGGCTCACTATAAGACAGCGCCGGTTGGGCTTAAACCGTGTATTTTTGCCAGTATCTTCATCATCTTGATCCAACCCCTGCTCGTTTTATAATTCCTGCAGAATCCCAGATCGCTCCAGGATGCAAAACGGCATTTCTTTTTTAATACATCTTAAAAAATAATTTCATGAAGGCATTTTGTGAGCTATAAAATAAAATGAGATGTAGCAGCTTGCTTAGTAGCATCTTTGACCCACATTGCTATGCTTTGACTTTTCTGTGGACAGGCTAATGCACATAAATCCCACATTGCAATTAATCAGATTGGCCACCCTGCCCACCCTGACCCCAATCTCTGAAAATGCAGGATTTTCCTGAGAATGATTTTCTCCTGATAGAAGTTCTTAATTGTGTCATTCGATATTTTATATCCCAGTAATTAGGATATTGCAGGTATTCTTAATAAAAAAGAAAAACAGAAATTTTGTTGCACATGTTGCGGTCATTTTTGTTTTGCCGCTTGTTTTTCAGATTGATCCCGTTCTTTCTGCTGAAGTAGAAACGGTTGTTAAAAGGTAGGCCTTCAGCTTTCTTTGTGTTCAAACTGTCAGTTTTGTCTGTTTAATTGCTGTGATGTTCCATCTTTTCAGACTTGCCTGCCTTTGTGCTTCTTTCATGCGGTGCATTGAAAAACAAACGCAGCTCACATGTATCGTAACATAATGTGAACGGAATACAAAATAGAGCTGAGCGCCAAGGTCCTCTTTTTATTATCTCTCCTCCCACACTCAAGTCTCTGCCGATCTTTCAGTTTTTCGCCACAGGGCCTCACCACAACAGAGATCTTTGCGGCAGGAAGCTGCCCTCTCTGCTTAAGACTTTACCTGGATGCTCCGTTCATGTCACAAACAGTGCAGCTGTGTTTCCTTGCCTGAGCTTGTCACTGCTGTTCAGCATCATTCACGCCTCTGTGAGTCCTGAGTCACACAGAACTGAGTTTTGCCACTGCTTTTACAGAACAGCAGGGGTGTTCTTGGCCCAGGAGAGGTGCCAACAGGAGCTTCATGCTGCCATGAAAAGGTGCTTCGCTGTGGTCAACAGCTCTGTTTCAGAGGGCATGTCAGCAGCCATCTTGGAGGTAAACATCTTCGAGGATGGTGGGTAATTGGACGGCAGGGCAGCACGATGTTCCAACATTGACAAGAATAACAGTTTGGTAATGGTAGTTTGATCTATCAAGGCATCTTACAGAGGAACTTTTGTATTTTAATCTAAACAACGTGAATCTTCTGCACTGTTTGTTGTTCAGCTACAATGCTATCTGGACACTTCTGGGACAATTACCCAAATTAATTGCTTGACTCCAATCTTCCCATTCCTGAGTGAGCAAATCCTCTTAATCTTTTTTAAACACAGGCAATTAAGACAATCCACAGTAGGCTTAAAGTGTTATTAGTTTGTTAGCATGTTTCACTTAACAAGGTATTAGCTTGCACAGATTGTTAATTCTTTAAGTGAACCGAAGCACAGAATGGCGGCGCTGTACACCATCCGAAATGCTCGAGTGACTGCTTCTTAACAATGACAGGATAAACAAGAAACTTTTGCCTTTGACTTATGCTTCCTGTCTTCACCAGGCCATTGATCTCGGGGTACCTGTGCTGGCTAGAAACATTCCAGGAAATGCAGCTGTGGTGCAGCATGAGGTCACCGGCCTTCTGTATTCTTCTCCTCAGGTATATATTGGCTGACCAGCTCTGTAGTTAAGCTAAGCGCTGTAGTCCATAAACATAATGACTGTGTTTATGGACTACAGAGAGGATAAACTGTTGCCAGGGCTACAGGGACTCCTTTTACCTCAGCTGACCAGAAAAGTACACAACCGCATTAAGTAGTACCGACACACTGACTGAGAACAACTGGAGGGTTTTATGTCTTCTCCTTGCATAACTGGATAAAATAACAAGTCTCACAGTTTTAATCAGAAACTTTTGACATCATTTTGTAAACTTTGTAGCGGTTTTATCACAAGTCCAATCTGAGCAGGTAAAATATAACAAAAGGTCCCTCCTTGTGTTATATTTTATTTTATGTTTCCTCAGGTGCTTGGATTAGAATCAAAAGAAGTGCACCCTTTAGGGAGAGAACAAAGATACTATACTACCGCATAGTGATGCAACAATTAGCAGCAAGGTGGAAAGTAAGTAATCCCCCATGAGAACTGCTCGGTCTGATATTCAATGAGGTTTAATGCAATGGGAGATAACAAAGGATAAGGCCAATTGGCAGGGCTTAAGCGTTGTATTGTCAAGATCATGCTGTAGCGTGATGTTGTTGTAATGGTGGGGATAATTCCTCCCTGCACGTGTGCTCCACTGAGCTGCTGGTAGGAAGCTCACACAGATGGTTGCAGCAACTTGGGCCGGATAAACGAGGACCTCGGCCAGGACCGACGGGCAGAGAGTGCTAGTCTTTGAGCCGCCTTTGCAGTAGCTCCCATGCAGGACTTTTCACGCACGCTAAAGTCTTTCCTTATTCTTTCCACTGACAGTATTTCTTGTTCTTCAAGATGGAATTACATGAGGAGTGTGGGTATTAAGAAATGTGTCGAGCAAAGTAAACACAAAAGCACTCACGAGCTTTAAAGAGGAAAAATGGCCTGTCCTGTCGGGCTCTGTAATTTGCACCAAGAGTGAAGTGAATATAAGCGCGCCTCTCATAAGTTGAGCTTTAATCCTTTTGCTGTGAGGATTTATAGCCCTCATATGTCCATACAGAAGAGCCGTTTCCCACCAAGAGCCTCTCCAGACATAATCACATCACTTGAAGTGAAGTAAAGCAAAATGGCCTGCTGACTGGCAGTGGCTAAAACTTTGTGTGCCCATTGGCTCAGTGCAGCAGTGAATGTTGGCTGTCAAGTTGCAAGAACACTTCAAGGCACTTTGACTTCATTTTGTTGGAGGCTTCTGACAGGCTGCTGGGCCAGCAGATGAGCAAACTAGGATTCTGAATGCTGAGTGGATGGACCTCATTTCTATGAATACGTGATGGTGTTATTACTCCCTTTTTTTTATACTGTTGCTCTTTTATCCTTGTCTTTTCTTCGCCATGTTCCCAACACGACTGGTTGTACAGTATCTTTTTTTTTTCTAACTGTATCACTTTGTTTGTTTTTCTCTTTTTACATAAGCAAATGAGAGGTGGCAGCTATTAGGATAGAAAAAGGGGGTCTGTTGGGCATCCATATTTAGATATGGAGCCACAAATATCTCCATCCTTTGGCTATGTAAAGACACTTTTGAAGTATTTGCTAATCAGTGCACAGGCTTCTATCTGAGTTCTGTTCTTGTGCTTTGGATTATCGTTTATGCTTTAAAAAATATCTCCAGGCACCTTCACTGGCAAGCTTCAAGTGGCATTTGGCAGTGAATGAGACTAATTTTGCCTTTATCCTTGCCAGGAATTTGTGCATCAATCTCAGAGGCTGTTGTCGGATCACGAGCTGAGAGAGAGAGTGGTGAGGAATGGAAAACTCTACGTGGAAGAGCGTCACGGCGTGAACCAGGAGAGAGAAACTTACCAGCGACTGGTGGACACTTTGCACTGAGCACATTAAACTGCAATCTGTAAACTTTCTCAGGGGCTTCAGCAGGAGAGAAGAAGAGCGCGACACTAGTCTCTCTTTGTTGCACAGGTATAATTATGCTCGTTTGCATAATAATGCGGTTTTATCTGTACTACCTGACTGAAAATTATGATGAAGAGTGCTTTAAACCAAAGACATATGACATTTATGATGGACTCTTATTTATGGTTTAATTATGATAAAGGCATGGATACTGTGATTATTCATTCTGCATATTAAATGGTTATTGATCTAAAAAATTATTACGTTTCTCTTTATCAGACTTTTCCAAATGAAGTCCAAGATTTTTCCAGGTTATGCTACCCCTTTCTGTTTCTGCATACCCCTTTATGCTGAAATAACTGGGTTACACAAAGAGAATGAACCAGTATAACTTTGTTTAAAGGATAGAATGGCACAAAAGTCCTTTTGTTTGCTGTTACAAAGGTTGATTATGATATCGTACTGCACCAGCGTAAGCACCGTAACAAAAACCTGTCAAATCAAGAACTGCATTAGTTCAGGCAGGCCACAAAGACGAGCTCGGCCACGATCCCAGTATGGCAGTGAGTCCCAGCGCTAGCCTACTTCAGCTGTCTGCTCAGTTGATGGTTTTCTATACATCCAATTGACAAATCCCATATAGGAAGCACTGTTTAAGCTGCTTGCTTCAAGTCGCTTTGCAAACGACCTTCACCCCAGCTCCTGTGTGTCTTTCTTCTTCCTGATGTGTTTTTTCTGTGTTGGGTCTCGATGCTGCTCTCCACATATCCACATAGAAATCTGTGAGGGGTCCCGAAACAGAGCTACGTTTCCAAATATAAGTACTGCAGATGGAGATAATCTTAATCTCTGAATTAAGCAAAGAAAAAACTGCAGTAGATGACCAACTCAAGTGGCTGGTGCTTAACGTAGAAAATCAATTAATAGGCAATATTGAAGATCAGTCCGTTTTAATGTTAAAAAAGCAACTGAAAATTAACCCAACTTAAAATTACAAATACATCTTTTATGTTGCATAATAGAAAACACCCCTTTTGGTTCTTATTATTTTAATCAAAGCCATATGTCTACTGAAATCAGTGTGGGATTATGCTGATATAGGATATATTTTCAATTTGGAGACACTTTCTCTGGGTGTCTTTGTACTATATGCATCAGCATGTGAGTGCAACAATTTAGAAGTAGATATCCACATGCAGCTTTAATATTTGGTGGCTTTGTGTGAAAAGGGAGTCCGTCTGAATTGGCCGTCTCAAACACGATCACACACATCTAACTCTCCAATATTAACAATAATATACAGTACATGTACATGTAAAAGGCCTTGATAGGTAATGAAATGTAGAGGAGGGCAATTCCAAAATCATAAATTCTCGACAGTTTTCAGAGTTGGCAAAGGCATTGAGGTGATCAAAGCCACATCTGCTGTACATGTGAGGTCTGATCAGGTTCTCTATTATAACCGGTCCCCAGGCTCTGTGATGGGCACTTGAGGTTCCTCCCCACAGCTGTCCTCCTTTCCAACCCAATGGATGCCATGGCCGTTCTCTCTGGGTGGGAGATGTGGTGAATGCTGGCGCTCTAGTGTGGAGAAGGTTGTGAACTGGACTCTCTTTCTCTTGCTGGTGGGCGAGTGGAGGGACTCTGTGGGCATTGGTTTGCCTCTGAGGGAGCCTACGCAACTGAGGGGAGAATCTGTGACGGAGGCCAGACAACTGGGCCTCCTGGAAAGAGAGCCAGTCTTATCAGGCCCAATGTCTATCACAGTGGTTGTAGTTTGGGAGTCTTGCTGGACCGGGCTGCCCGGCACACTCATCACCAGCTCAGCATCTGTGCCCAGCCATACCCAGTCGTGCCTGTGGCCTGTGGGTTCCTGGCCGTGAGAGGGCGGTTTCTTGTGCCTGAACTTAACAACATATGAGACACAGTTTACCAGAAAAACCAGGATGGCCAGGCAAAAGACACCCAACAAAGCATACATGCCAATCTCTAAGTCTGTTAGAGGCCTGTTTGCCAAAACTTCTTCACCACCAACTTCTATTTCTGTCGTCCCCTGCCCAGGGGTCTCCACCTTGGTGGGAAAGTTGTTGGAGTTTACCAGATTCCTGGGAACCTTCACCGTGCTGGTGAAGCTAACGCTGCTCATATCCTCCACTATCATGTTGTCTGACCCGTATCCTTTGCTGTTCCCACCAGGGCTGCTCATTAGGCTGACATTAGCCACAGTAGTAGGACTACCAGGGTTTCCTGAATTACTGGTCTTACCCACTCCTCCGAGGCTACCGCTGGTTATCAGGGTTCTTTCTGTAGATTTAATAGTGGTTGTGATCTTCTGTATGGCGCTTTCTTCTCTGTCTAAGTTTGGCATGCGTGGTGAAGCATCCTGGGATGGCTTTCTCTGCTTCCTCTGACGCTCCACTTCTTCCCCATCGTTCCCATAGTCAGTTTCCTTGTTGCTAACAGTACTGCTGTCGAATATTCCATCTGATCGCTTAGTGTTCACTTGAAATTTGACCTTGAGGGTGCCGTTGCCTACTGCAAAAGTACTTTTGCGTTTGGACTTCTGACAGGCCTCACAGATGGACATCTCTACTCTGACCAAGACTCCCTCGCCCTCTCCTTCTGCCACCACAGCTGGTGGCGTGCCCTGCACCGACACCACTCCCTGATCTAGAGAGGTCACCGTCACACGGAAAAAGGATTGATCATAAATGTCAAGAGGTGTCTGATTGCCATCACTGAATTGTATCCAGGCACTGACCAAAGCTTCCTAAGAGAACAAAGAAATTGTAAAAAGATTGTACTTTGATCTTTGAATCTAAAATCTTTACATTTAAAAAATGATAAAGGATGTTACCTGTTTGGGACTCTGTAGCACCTCCTGTGTGGTTGTGGTAGCCAGTATGGCCCTGTTGCTTCCTGCACTGAGCTGTAATGTCATGGAGAGCCCTGTAACCAGCTGAACCCCCAGCTCTGTGATGGTCACTTTGTCATCCACAACTCTGATAGTTGTTTTAGCCAAGATGGCATCAGATAGTGGAGAAAACACCTGTCAACATCAGGTAAAGTCACTTTTTTAGGCTGTTTCAGATTTGATCTCATTTTTAACTCTTTGCCTCAGACAGAAACGGTTCAATTCAGAAAAAGAGTTACTCTGTGAAAAGGCAGCAAGTTAGAGCTGGCTCACAAGACTAATCCAAAGAGTATTCCAGTTTATTACCTGGATGGCAGTGGTCCCAAAGTCTTTCCCCGACAGCACTCTTCCTGCCTGCAGCCTAGCCACTCGAGTGTCCTCCACCTTCATGAAGTATCGAACCAACCTTGTAACATCCGCCTGCCAATCAGACCCTAGGAAATAGGCCTTTGGATCCCGGGGGTCTTCTTGCTCTGCCATGAAATGGGTTAGCACCCTCACAAGGGCATGCTGAAACTGCAGCATACAGCCCTTCCCCTTCCGATCGTCTTCATCACTGTTCCAGCCAGTTCTGGGACATGAGCACAAAAACATACGGGCAGGTCAGGCCTATCAAACAGTACATGCTTTCACCTCTATATCAATCACTCAGCCCTGTCTGTCTCTTTATTTGATTGGATCACACTGAATTATTGCAGTGCATTACATAATGGAATCTAACCTCTAAATCCTCGGAGAGATATGATTTAAATTTGTATGAATAAAAAAAATGCCCCTGGAAATCACACCTACTGTAGAAATCAAGCAAAGGGATTTTGTGTTGTTAGTGGTTTCCTACCTTTTTGAGGTGAGGATGGGTACCCTCCAGCTTTTGATCTGGCTCAGCTCTGTGTCTGACACCTCAATCTGGAGAGGAAGCCGGGGCATCCACACATTCAGTTCGAGCTGAGCACTCAGGTAGCTGTAGGTGAAGTTTACCGTCATCTTTATCTTCCCCTTAACCTCTTTTCCATTTACGAAAACATAGTCACACCTGTCGGACACCTGGAGAGGTAAAGATAAAATGGAAACATTCCGCCGGCACGTGAACATCTTATCATTTTTTGTCTAAGATGATTATGTAAACAATCTACATCAAACTCAGGATTAAACTTGTTCATGAAAGCAATATTCTTCCTGCCAATGACAAAAAATAATCAAGTATTCTCATGAAAGTCACCATTTTAACACATCGGCCATTCCTGCAACAACAAATAGCCGTGAAGCAGTTTTGCACTGGATGTGTCACCGCAGTAATGTCAGCTGGCTTTAATAAACTACTGTGATGATCACCGGTGTGAGGCGTTGGGAAGAGGCAGCATTGCAGTTTTATGTTAATCGAAATATCATGTAGTGCACGCTGAGCATCAGTCCTTCACAACCAAGTGCATTCATTACAACAGAATTTCAAAGGTGACCTTTGCAAGTTTGGGCAGCTGCTTCAACATCATTTTGCGTCACGTCAGGAGGTTTCACTTGGTCGTCTTTGGCCAATACGATAATTAACAAATCACTGAACTCTAGTGACTGAAAACACCCAGGGGAATAAAAGGAAATACACTGACGTTGACAGATGGCTAAAGGATGACTACATATATAAGTTACATCTCGAAGCGGTGTGGACCCAAGACTTACGAGATGTGCTGTCACCGGGTCGTGCAATTTTTAGTTCTTTTTTTTTAGAGTACCATGTGTCATCATTGCATCTCGGAACTGCATCCCGTGGATATGGAACATCTTTAGAATAACCCCATCACTCATCATGTCAGCCCTGCTGCTAACTCAGATGTAGTTTCTGCTTTTATACCTAACAGTATATTTCTAAGAAGTGGCACAAAACCTTTCAAATAGATGTCGGGGGAAAAATTTCCATGCAAAGACAGAACAACAGACAAGGGCTCATTTATTTTCAGTGCACTTGTGTTGAATCTTCATGTATTTAATTCAGTGTGTGGGAAGTCAGCTGGTCAGCCATGATTTAAGGCAATTTGCTAATTTTCTACTGTGTTAGAGGAGCACTTTCCAGGACCTCCACCGTCTGCTGTGTTCAAATAATATTCCGAAGAATAAGTTAAAAGGGAATGCCATTTTAAATGTGCCATCCGCCAACTCTCATTCTTTGTCCAAGAATATCCCTCACCATTTTCGGTATCGCAAAGATATTTATGTTAAAATGGGATTTGCCTTTCATCACTGGGTACAGTATTACAGACAGGCAGAAATTAAAAATGCTGAAATGCGCGCTTCACTGACGCAACTCTGCACATGCACATAGAGAGTTTTACTGAATGTGCACAATTAAAATATCCCAATTCCAAGAGGTACTCAAGAGTTTCCACTTGATGTAAATTTTTTGGTTAAACTGCTGTATCACCTAATAAAAAGTTCTGGTTAATAACACGTGCTCAAAAATAAAAAAAAAATAAAGGAACACTTTGAAAACACATCAGATCTCAATGGGACAAAAATCATGCTGGATATCTATACTGGTACGGACTGGGTAATGTGTTAGGAACGAAATGCAAATCAAAATGATCAGCCTACAAAGAGCTGGACTCAAAGACACCCTGAAACTCAAAGTGAAACAATAATGCGGAAGTCTAGTCCATTTTGCTGAATTTTCATTGCAACAGCTCAAAATTATACTCAGTAGTTTCTGTGGCCCCCACATACATGTATGCATGCTTGACAACATCGTGTTCCTGACATGGCAGACGGTGCCCTGTGGAATCCCCTCCCAGATCTAGACCAGGATGTCACTGAGGTTGTGGACAGTCTGAGGTGCAATCTGGTGGTGTTGGATGGACAGAAGCATAAAGTCCCAGAGGAGTTCTGTTGGATTTAGGTCAAGCGAGCAGGGGGGCTTGTTAGTAGTATCTATTCCTTTGTCCTCCAGGAACTGCCCGCATACTTTGCCACATGAGGCCGGATAATGTTGTACACCAGGAGGAGCCCAGAATCCAATGCACCAGCATAGCACCAAAGCAGCTGAAACTAATTCACAACCCCCTCTGATACTTAACTGACCAGATCAAAATGTTAAAATGTTAAATGCTCAGATGTAAATCCTTCATACCTTAAGATATTTCCATATTTTTCTCTGTATCATTTCTACACATTTGGGAATCGCTTCCACCAAAGAACAGGGAGTTGTTTTTTTTGTTTGGTTTTTTTTTTTTATTTTTCCGGGTCATGTGAGCTATAAATTCCTGATAAATCCTTCCCCATCTATCACTAGCAGATTTGATCTTCAGGCAAAATAGAGGAGAAAATATATCTGAGTCAAGCTGTTAGACTAAGAAGATTAAAGGGAATATTTGTGACTGAATCTGCTATCTGGTCAGCAAACATACAACATGGCTATAGTCAAGGTTGAAAAAGAATATTTTAGTCCACATTCGTCCTCTTGACTGTTCCACATAATTCTGTTTTTCTATAACCCGCACAAATCTGTGCTTGATACAGGTACACTTACTGCCCGTGACCTCGTCTTACTGAAAGTGCATTTATTTATTAGCTGGGACAGCTTCCGTTGGATAAACTTACAAAATTCAATTGCACCAGAGAACTGGAGCCCACTGCATGGCTATTTCTTTTTTTAATCTTGTGTAGATATATCAAGAGCCTTTGACCTCGAAGTCTAGGCACCTGACTTTCAATTTCATCCATAAACAAACCCGGCTTTTTGGCAGTCAGTCGCGCTCACTTATACAGGATAAAAGGGACAAGTCGCGGGATGGAAGCACAGTGGTAGATTGAGAGGTCATGTTGTGAGCAATTTAGCACAGTAGCTGTTCATTGTCGGGGAGATTGATGGGAAATGTTGTCAAAGTCTCACTAATAGTTTGTTTTACCATGTGGAAAAGAGGGAGAGAGTAAAAGTGACTTTGGAGCAACGTCTTTGTGTTCAGCTGTCTTTCCCTTGACACATAAAACTAACCTTGTCCATGTGGAGCATTACAAAGAAACTACTCAACTTTCTTATGCCTCTCAACATTAGGACAGGGAAGCAAGGTACAAATATGAAGCACTTTATTGTTGTTGATGGACATACCACTGAAGTTCACATCCTTTGTTCTGTCATTGTTCTTGGAACGTTTAAAACCAAAGGGACGGGGAATTTGTTCATTGTAAAGGAAGTCATAAGGGGGACGTGCAAATCCTACCTTGAGAATGTCTTCATCAGTGGAGCTACAGTCTGTGTAATCAGACACATCCGTGACTACTCCATCTTCCTCCACAGCTACCGTCCTCACAGGCATCACCACCTTCTTTCCCGTCAGCACAGCGGTGTTCAGAATCTCCGTGTCCTGCAGAGAGAGCGAAGGGAAATGAGTTTCATATTCCAGTTCAGTTTTAGAGTTTATGTGGTGGTGCTACTGTCACAGTGACAAAGATTTTTAATTTATTTATTTTTTAATAAGAGTGGCATGGGATGCAGTTAAAGGAGGTAGACAGGAGACACGGGCAATGAAGCGTGACTCAGCGACTCAGCAGCGGTGGCGAGGTAAGAAGGCCAATCCGCCTTTGGGAAGCAACTGGGGGAGTAGAGTTAAGGCTGGGTGATGGCTCGGTCACCACATGGAAGTAAGAGCTAATCTTGGATTTTTTACTGCACAGGCATGTCCCTCAAAGGGATGCTGTATCACTTCACACATGGGCAATTAACCGGAAACATGGACTAAAAATAGTCTTTATTACACACAGAGCCCGCCTGCGATGCATGGTGCATTGTTAATCATAAATGTCACGGAAATAAGAGCGCTCATCCACTTCTGAATGAGTTGGTGGTTCGATTCCTGGCTCCTTTTGTCTCATTGTCTTTTGGCATAGATTGGTTGGGTTAGGGCCTTGTTTGCTTGTTAGCTTCCCTTGGTCTTTGAGTACCTGTTAGGTGACTAAGAGGTGAGCTCTAAAGCACTTTATTCCACAAATAAAGGCTATTTACGTAACACTATAAATGTGAGGTGCCTTGTTAAAATGAATTGATAGTTATTTGTAGGAATCCTTGGATAATCAAAGCATGAAAATGAAGCAGATGGGTAAGTGTCGTTCTCTATGAAAAAAAAGAAAAAACAGAAAACAGACTGCTTTAAATGAAGCTGAATTAATCGAATATTATAAGCTGAAGTGCAGTGCAGTTCTGTGAATGAACAAATCAAATATAAAGAGACATTTGGCGACTCCAAGTATGAAAATGAAGCAGATGGAAACGTGTCCCCTCGAGAGTAAAACCGCTTTAAATTAGGCAGAAATAAATAAACGTGCAACTGAAAACTCTGATGTGAAGGTAGTATCAGTGAAGCTTTTTTCTTTCCTCCCCCCCTCCTATAGAAGTAGTGAGCAGCAGCACTAGCTGAAGTTCATGGAGCAAGGCCAAGAGTGATCAGTCAGCGCTAATGTCCCCTTGAGCCAACCATCAAATCTCCTCCTGTTTGGCCTCAGGTCAGCTTCTAATCCACCAGCGAGATGGGCCATGTCAAATTTACAAATCGGGATACTGTAGCTTTTCCACATAGCTTTGAGCACTTCAGCACCTTTAAGATGGAAATGAAGCATATAGCCTGCATAATCTTGCTAAAGCCTTCATTAAAAGTATAGCAATTATATTTTATTTGTATAAATTACATATTTCAATTATATGTAGTCGAACAAATGTGAAAGTTATCCCTCCAAACAGTGTTTTAGTTAGGAGCTGGCCCCGGTGACAGATAACTCCGATTCAGCACGGCAATTAAATGTGCTATAATGTTTCTCATTGAGTAGAGGAGATTATATCACGGGTTAATAATAGAGGTAGCACAATAAAAGAGGCCTGCGGCACCAAAATAGAAGCACATGAAGCAGCTGTTAGCAGGAGAGAATGACCACATAATGCACGCTAGAACAGAGCAGAACAACACAGAGGAGACATCAGCTAGTTGACAGTCAACAACACAAGGTCACACTCTGCTTAAAATAGAAGCCATTTACTAAACAGTCCAAAGCATATCCAGCCTTCTGTGTATGCAAACCAGACAGGAACAGATCAGAGCAAAGTGCATTTTATGATATTTTCATGCACCGACGCTCCAAGGATGCAATCTAAGCATTATTGGAAACTCTGCTGTTGGCAACATCGATCCTGGTGTTTTACTCTGATTAGGTGTGACAGGAGAGATGACAGCTAACTCACCATTACGAGAGGAGCTAGGCCGACAAAGTCTCTCTGAGTGGTATAGATCCTCATGGCTCCTTCAGTCTTGACTCCGTTTTTGGATGTGGATGGTAGCTCCAGCTTCCATATGATTACCTGGCTGACGAGAGGGCTGCTCAATTCTTCAACTTCAAAATCCATTTGAAGTACCTCCAACAAACTGCTTTCAAGCCTGAATGGTAAGCAAAGAGCTGTGTTAATTTGACAGAAGAAGTATGCATTATATACACATGAAATCACACCTGCTTTATAATTTCAGTACAACACATCTTGTGTTAAAATGAAGATAATCAGACTCTTGTTAGCGCAGCTTCATGTTGCCTCGAGTGCTCTTCGGGTCAAGCAATAATGTAGCTTTTAATGTTTCTAAAGAGATCTGTGTATCTGAGGTTAAGTGATTAAACACAGCACAAAAGTTTACTGATCCGAAACCTTGGTTACCGAGAAACAAAAAGATGTGTAGGCACACTCTGCACTTTCAGTTCAATTCAGTTTTATGTATGTAACACAAAAAAACAAACACAAGTGCCTCAAGGTGCTTTATGCTGTAAAATAAAGACCCTGTTAGAGAGAAAACTCTGAAAACTGGAGCCAAGGCAATGGTGGGAAGGAAAAGCTCCCTTTCAACAGGAAGTAACCTCAGGCAGACCAAAGCTTAAGAAGGGGCACCCTTGACCTGGACTGGAGATGAGGGGAAAGAGAAGAGAAAAGGGAAGGCAGCGAGAAATGGGACATAAATATGTTCTGTAGTTTGTCTATTACATGCTATGGGTCAGATTTACTAAAGTGCTGCCTCAGTGCAAAGTGGGTTTTGGCATAAAACAGTAGTGTCAGTGTTTGCAAAGACAGTGCAGTGATAATATTATGTGTACGAGGTGGCAACTAAGAGAATTTTGCAACTGACCCCCTTCCTTTCTCAGAATAGAAAATATTTAAATCAAGCGCTCTGATAGATTTACTAATGTTTGCGACATGCAATTTACTGCTAATTGCTAATTGCTACTGCTAATTGCTAGCACTAATTGCGCTGATATTTAACACAGAAAATGAGCATGTCCTATTTTTTTCACTTGATTTTTAAATAAACTGTGTTTAATTCAATTCACTCTTATTTATATAGTGCCAACAATAACAACAATAAAGAAAATTGTGCTCTTTTTCACTAGGAAAAAAAAACCCACACAGACACCTATGAGCACTATTTGGCAATTGTGCTTACATGCTTTTTCAACCCTTTTAGGGAACTTGGCCCTACAGTGAGTCTACAGCAACGCTTTCCGCTCCAAAAGGCCAAAGCACAGCAAGACTTCAGACAAAAATCAGCATGTTATCATACTAACAGACTCACATATTTAGTTCTTTGTCCATTTCCTGAATGTCTGCATAAAAACTTCAATCTCAGTCTTTTCAGCGATTTTTGCGTTTTTCTGTTCCTTCATGATTTATAAAGTTATAGATGCTAGTTTCAGCTGTCCCCTCATTCACAAGGGGTTAAGATCTTTTTTTTTCTAACCAGGGATATAGAGATGTGTATTGTTATTGTGGCACAACGGCAGAATCACAGTCTCCAGCTATTGCACTGTATAGTAACTGAAGCCTGTGTATTATTGTTGTATTTTTGTAGGCTCTCTAATTTACATCACAAAATGCCTTGAGGCGACTCCTGTCATATGAATTTAGTCTTTAATTTCAACGATCAGGTAAAAACCTAACATCATTATTATTATTATTACTATTATTTTAATTAATTAATTAGTTGATTTTTTTAAGTAAATTTCAATTCAAAGTGAGTTTGCGTTTTTCAGTATGAGGAAGAAGTAAAAGCAGTTGAGACTGAGCCTGGAGTTTTGGAGATATTCATCTTAAAATTCATAGTGACATGTTACGAATTTGGCCCCATGGATAGAAGTGTAGAAAAAAAATTTTCAGAGTGCGATGTGATCCTAGTGTTTGTGACAAGACACAGTCCTCTTTTTTAGCCGTGGAGTGGGCTTTGCATCTCTAGGCTTCTTCACAAGCTAAACTAGAAAAGAACAGAGCTGAATTTCTCTTTGCTGACACTCCCCTCGGGTTGCTGGTTGCGTTAAATGGGTGTAGAATAAAAGGTGGTCTGAGGACAGCGGCATCCTGAATACAAAACAAAGTATGAGCCTGTGTAACTTATAATAGCCTCTCAGTGATGACAGCTGCAAGAGAGCTTCCTAGCCACGGATTCAATTTTCTGCCATGGTCGTGTAGTAGTTAGTACCCTGGGTTTATTTGCGGGCATTGTATGGAGCTGCAGAAAAGATGTATTGCTGGACAAAAATGCAATAAGCATAAGCACATGGCCGTTATCAGTCTCACTGCATCTGTGTGTCCATGTTATAAATCTGTGTCTGACTCGTGTGGAGGCACAGCATGAAAATGACCTCCAAAAAGGCTGCACACCAGCCGCCTTTTGTTGCTTTGAAGTAACAACAGGAGAAACTGAAAGTAGTTTTTTATTATTCCTTCATTAAGTTCCAAACGCAGCAACAAAGCACAGAAAAAGCTGCCTCTGTTTGCTTCTCTCAGTCATAGCTGCCATCATTAGGAGCGAGACAGAGATTGAGTGTAATTTAATCATTTTAGGCTATTGCTCAAAGACCCAGGAATAAGATAATCGCATTCTGGTCAACTGTCAAAACAAGATATGTTTAATTCAGATAAACATGCCTATGTGGTATGAAGTCGGTATTAACCATATTAAAACACATATCCAACAATATGGGGGATGTTTTTATGTGTGTGTTATTTACACCCCCTGTAATTTATTGTGGAGCTTACAGGGAATGGATGCTTCAGCATCTTGTTTACGGATGGCAGTCTGCCTGAGAATAGCAGTGCTTAAATATTAAGATCCACACCAAGCCCTTTGCAACTGAGGATAAAAATAAATAAATAAAGCTTAAATGTATAAATACAGCAAATACTTTCGGTGTTTGCTAAAGCCAGCTAAGCAAAAAGTCCGAGAAGTCCCCATAGTGGTGTGACAGTAGACGCTCCCAGCAGGGGTTCCGTTAGTTTCATGACATTTTAGAGAGGATTAGCAAAAAGACTGGGTAAATAAATATTTTAACCCATAAAGAAGTTGTAATAAACAATGTCACAATCCACGGCAAATGGGGAAAACAACATAATGAGGTCAAACCTATAATGACAATAAATTCAGTGTTGTTTCTCAGATTATGGCAAGCTGTCTAATGTTGTATGAAATCTGACAAAGCAATCTTCCACAAAAGCACGCTTAGCTTTACCATTTTTGAATGAAGCTGTATAGTGGGTGTAAATATATATATATATATATAAATATAAATATATATATATTCACACACAGATCAAAATTTTGTTTCACAAACATCTTTTTAAAATTTCTCTAGTGGCAGAATCTAACTCTTACAGTTGACATTTAAATCTAAAGTGTATATGTTGAGCTGGAAGAGTTCTGCAGGCACCTGCATACGTCTTTCACCACCATGCAAAACATTTATTCAATAGAAATAAATAAATAAATAAATAAATAAATAAATAAAGCATCCAGATTCTCTTTCCGTGCCATTCTTCGTATAATGCCATTTGTATTAGGGCACATGGTAATGCACAAAGGCCTATAAATCATGCCCACTGTATTCTAAGCCTATTTTCAGTGCTTTATTCATTTCTGATTGAATTTTCTGATTTCCCATGGGCCCCACCCTGACCGTTTCAGGTTCACCTATGAGTCACTACATTTTAAACATCTTGGAATGACCATCCAGAGGTTAACATCTGTGCTGCCTGTAACGGAAATGTTTCCGGTGATTGGATGAAAGGTATTTTATGCACTCCAAAAGAATTGCAAGAAAACCAGCCATCCACTGCTTTTGATTCTGAATAAAAAGCTTTTTAGCTTTTAGTAACAACATAGTCTTTGTTACTATGTTGTCGTTTTGATTCAGAAAGGTGCTAGCATAGCCCTAATGGGCTTTTGCCTATATAATTTAATAATAATACAAATTTCAATATAATAATTGTCTCCGAATGAAGTCGATGCTTTATTTAATTATGATACAATTTTGAGATTTCCCATGGGCCCCCAGACTGTGGCGCTGTCAAAGGTATTAGTTGAGGAAATGTAGGCAGGTCAGCGACAAACTTTACTGGAACTTTCTGAAACAAACTCAGGTGGCGTGTGAAGAGACCCGAGGGCTGTGCAATTAGCCTGAATTAGTGTTAAATGGTACAGAAAATGGTGAGTGCTGGCACCAGATGATCCATCACAAACATGGACGGAGTAGATGCAGCTCTACACCGTCCATATCACACTAGAGCAAACTCTAAGCCCACGGATATCAAGTGCACTCTTGCTAACTTTTTCTGCAGCCCGGAAGTGCCACGAGAAAATAATGTTCCACTGCGCTATTTTATTTTTTTTCATCCAGCGTTTGTGTCTATTGGTGCAGCCATAACCACAGAGGAACCTGGCAAACCTTGCCCCCATCGATAAGCCACAGGTGGATCTGACTGCATTTTCCATCAAATTCATGTGTTGCTTGTGGTGTTTAAGACCGTTTTAGCCTTATTCTTTCAGCTGCAACCCTGGTGGGGTAAACGCTCTGGGGACCAAGCAAAGAACAAATATTAATAAAAAACAATTCCAACTGGTTACTACACTTTGCAAATCTTCTGTAAAGGTCATCGAGTTGTCTACTAGGCTTTAGTTGTCTGCCTTAGGATTAGGTCATCAAATGAAGGCCAATGAAATCGCCTGGAATTGTTTGCTGCCAGCAGAGAAAAATGAAGCATTGAATATTTGTGTTTGTCAGGAAAACTGAAAGCCTTTACATGATTTCTAAAAATCAGAGTCTCTATCGCTTCTCATCCACCAAGCTCCAAAGGATCATCTAGGAATGGTGATGCTGGACAATTAGAGATGCAGTTTAAATGACCCGTCTCATTAAGTTACAGCCAAAATTGTAAAGTGTCTCCTGAGATTGCCTCGATGAAGAGTTGACTCACTTCATGGCACAGCCCTCAGTATAACACCGTAATATAGGAAACAAAACAGAGACAGAAACAGAAACAGAGGCTGCGCAGTCAAACTGTCACTTAAGGACCCAAAAAATCACTTTAGTATGCAATTAATACCTGATAACCACACATTACAAATAGGTAGTGTAGTTTTAAACACATCCCTGTGGCAACTCCACTGTTGGCAGTAGCAAAAAGGTACAGTAATAAGCAAACCTGAGTGACAGACCATGGCATAACATTTTTCCGCTGCGTTGCCTTGTCCTTTAAAAAACAAAACAGAAAAAAAAACAGGTGTCTTTTAATCTCAGGAGGCACGGGTCACGCTTACCGGACTTAACTCTTAATTGTACTCAGCTCATTGCAGTTAAGCGAAATGAAGCTGCACTTGGCTGAACTTTAAAGTACATCTGAGAAAGGCTGGTTGTCAGGGAATGGTTGTAGTCCTGTTTAATGAGATTATGGAGCAAGTTAAGTACTTCTTAGGAACCCAAAGAGCTGACTGATCAGACCAACCTGCAGATGTCTTGCAAATAGTTTTAGCATCAAGGCTCAGGATGCACTCGGTAGCTTGCACTTTTTAGGTTAAAATAAAGCAGGCTACTACATGCTAGAAATACCTTCCCGTTCACAGTTAGTGAATGTCTTGAAATAATTAAAGTGCAGACAGAAAATGGGACTTAAAGGGGGGTAAAAAGCATACCTCCCTACAAGGACTTTCTTTACAAGAATACCTGCAGTCATCCAGTGGTTAAAGTATATCCCCTCTGGACAATATGCAATGAACCACATACATGCAGACATGTACAGTACAGACTGTTTGTGATTTGCTTTTCCAATGCAGACACACGTCCGCTTTAAACAGTTGGAGGTACCTGCAACCCACGATGCATTAAAATTCCCTTTTTAGCTCTGCAGTGTAAATATATCAGCGGTGATAGATTTCCCAGCAACAAAAAAACAGACATACATGAATAGTCTACAGTGACATATAAAGTAACGTGAAGAGAACAGACTTGCCTTTTCCCAGGTATGGGAGCCTTTCTCTGACAAATAACAGCGATGGCTCCATCCACACTCAAATCCAGAGTGATGTCCCACAGTAAAGAGTTACTGGGTGTTACTGTTCGAAAGGTCACACCTTTCCTTACTGTTGCTCTGTGAAAAGTCGAAAATGAAAAGGTCAAGAATGCAATAAATTTTTACATTACATTACATTTCTGGCTTTTTCTTTTTTCATGAGTTTTGGAATTTGCTTGTGAAAAAAAAATGTGTTAAATATAGTTCCCTCATGTACAATAGATTTAAACTTCCACCTTAAAATTCATTTATAGGTGAATTTAATTAATGCTTTTAATCTTGTCTGGTTTCTTACGATAAATCCATTTCAGTAATAAGAAGGAAGCTACATAAAATTGATATTCAGGCCTGGGGACTAACCGAATAGATAGAGCATTAATTAAATTAATTATAAAGGAGGTAACTTTATTCTATTTTAAAATAAAGACCAGTATTGGTAACTCACAGGGTTGTAGGCTCTCACACTTTTCAACATCTAGTTTTTGTCTCACACTGCCTCAACAAACTCATGACAAATAAGAAGAAGCCTCAACTCTGACCGGTGCAGTAATTTAATGTACAAACATTAATGGAAATACAGTATGTAAGGCAAAAATAGAGATTTTAGGATTCATTCAAATTTGAAAGTCAATATTTGTTATGACCATCTTCCTCGGCACAACCTGAACTCTCTTAGGTAAGGTTTCTGTACTTTCTCGAAGTAGTCTTCAGGAATAGTTCTCCAGCCTTCTTTAAGAACATGTAACATCTTTAAGAACACCTATCTTTGGATGTTGGCTGCCTTTTTTCTCTGTTTAGATGATCCCACACTTGTTGAGGTCTGGGGAGGCCAGTGCTTTTCGATCTAGGTATGCTTTTACCACAGTGGCAATGTGTTTGGTATCATTGCCAATCATTGCTTTCCAGATGGTATTGCATGGTGGATTAAAATCTGACAAGCCCCCAAACACCACTGGCTGAAATGCAGCCACGAACCATGACAGAGCCTCCACTCTCTTTTTCAGATGGCTGTAGACACTCACCGTTGCTCCTCTCTCCTGATGTCCTCCATATACACTGATGATGATTTAAAGCAGAATTTTACATCTGGATTTTCTTCCCATTTCCCTCCCTTAAAAAATGGCAATCTTTCCACTGAAACCATTTCCAATGATGCAGATTCATCATTGGGTTCAGTGAGGTATTTGCTGGATTTGTTCCCATTTTGGTCACTGGGCTTTTCAGATACTGTTTATCTGCTGTAGATAGTTTTTTTAGGCCCACTACTTGTTCTTTTGTCCTCCACTTGTACACTTTTACATTTTTTATTTGGTAAACTATGTTCTCTTTCATAGATTCAGCTAAAGAAGACGGACAAATTATGCGTATTGTGACAGCCTGCTAGCTAAACACACACAAACACACACACATACACACACACACACACACACACACAAAACCAAGGGCTGTTGGGAAAATCGTAGTGAAAGTGAGTGAAAAAGCAGCCAAGACCTTCAGAAAGTTTGAATAACAAATATAAGCCGAGTGTTGAAAGCACATCAGCTGAAGAGTATTTTTAGTTTGTTGCTTCAAGCTGTTTGTAGGAATCTTTCTCTCTTGTCTCGAGCTATATCAGGACATTTTAGTCATTTTTTTCTAGACTTTTTTATTAAAATGTGTTAAAGTTAAAAAAAATGTTATCTAATTATTAAAGCGAACACCCAATTATGGCAAGAGGTAGCCAGATAACAATAAAAACACATGATACGGTACCATGGGTCACCTATTAATCATTGCACATCACTAATGGGAAAACGATTTCTCCTGATATAACTTACTAGTTCTAAAAATATTAATTACATTTATAACAAATAATTTGAACAAGTTACCTCTCAACCCTGATATTGCATAGAACATCAATCAAATGCAATATTTATTAGACTCTGTACATACATTTAAAAGAAAATGTAAAGAAAATTGTAAGAGAGAGAAAATACAAAAACACAAATCTGTAATATATATATTTATCCTTATCTCAACCTGTAATTACCATCACCTCTGTGCAATTAAAGGTGCAAAGAAAACATTGTTCATTCTATTTATATTCACATTCTCTCATTATTCAAAATGTACTAATGGAGTATTAGTTTTCTTGGTGTCTAATTTGTAAATGGTGTGCATTATGCAGCCGAACAGACCTTCCCCGTGGGGCTTTCCCAGCATAAGCAGCTTGCAGTAGGTCAAATGTTAATGAGATACTCTTCTGGAAGAATTGTGGAGGCCAGGAGGAGCACACATGTAAATATGCCAGACTTGCTGAATATGCACGAACAAGACAGAGAAGTTGTATCCGAATGTTCAGGAAAAACATCCTCGTGTGATTCTTTGTTTTTCATCTGCATGCAAAGCTGTGTGGTTTATCTCTGAGATAAACACAACTGTTGAGCGCATTATGAGTCTCAGAGGAGGTGTAATTTTTGATAGGAGCAACAGCAATCTGAGCACTTCTCTTTCTTTGGCTTTGCTGTTGTATTTCAAAAGCAGGCAAAAGAAGAGAGGACATTACTCCCTTGTTATGCGCGGTGACAGGAGAGCAGCCTAAGCATGCATTATCTCTTAATTGAAAAGCGTTACTCGTGTGCACATTTTTTACATTTGTACAACAAATCTGAGCCACCCTTTGTAACAACATCTGCACAGCAAACATGTAATCTGGAAAGAAACATCTTTGGCAAAACCGCTTGAGACCTTTGCTCCAGATTACATGCAAAATGTAATCAGGAGAGAAGGTCTCAAGTGGCCACTGATTTTAGCGCATAAGTTTCTGCTGTGGAGCCGCATTTCCCTGTAATCACTCGCTGTCTTAATGGCTAGGATGGGAGACAGAAATATCGCCCTCATTCCTTTTCAGAATGAATAAATCTGAAGGAATGTTCCTGTTGCAGCAACAGTGACACTGTTAAAAACATAAAACGGACACAGAGCTTACGGGTTAAAGGTCGTAATTAAAAAGGACTGAATGGTATCATTTTCAACAGTTTAATCTTGCGCCGTCATGACCCTGAAGCAGCTGATTTCCATTCCAGCTGCTCAGTGCAGAAGCTCATTTGTCTGATTAATACAGGTTCCTACATGGAGCGGAGAGCTAAAAGGTGAAATCATCTAGTGGTGTAACTTGTGACAATTGCACACAGCTGAAAGCCACCTTTTTAGAAACAGGTTCATCGCTTTAATATTTATTCTGTTATACACATAATATTCATTCCTTCAGTAGCATTCTGGGTAGCTGAATTCAGAATTCAGTTGAAGCTTCTATTATTGCCATCGTTCCCAGTTTTACTACAGAGGTTGCTATGGCGAACACAAGTCAGAAATGTAAGTCAACTTACAGACTGGAAACTAATTAAATCAGCTCTAGCTCTGAACACCTCTCATCACATAAAGCGAAAGGAAGAGTAAGATTCTGTTGCCGGTGTATGGCTTCTCTGGTGGTATATTATGTGGCAGATGAGAGCGGAGCAAAGAGGAACCTGCAAGTCCCTGATTAGGATGAAGGTAAGGAGATAACAAGAAGGAAAGTGCAACTAAGGTAATGATAATTATTTTTTGTCTTCCCATTTCTTATCAAATGTAATCTGTGTAAAAAAATAACAATGCTCCCACCGAAAAGTTTATTTAAGTGTTTAACTTAAACACATGTATTGTATTTTTCGGACCATAAGGCAGACCAGATTATACGGCGGATTAAGCGAAACAAACATTAGCATTCATCCTCCAGCTTTACTGTTTGTGTTATGCTAACATCACGTAGCACATCATTATATACCAGATAGCCCAACTTCAGTAACCCTACAAAAGTCACTGCTGTTTAGTTTTCTGTCTTCATTTATGTTTGAAGTGATAGCAGAGCTGTATGTTTTAATTTTTCAGAAATTTCTCAGTCAGAACATGCTATATCATGTTTAGGTGGAAACTAGCGCGCTAACTACCTGCTAACTCCTAACTCCGTTAAATTTAATAAATTCTGTTTTCATGTATCCCTGGATGTTAAACTTAATTGTTACACCTGGTAAGGCAGCAATGCTGATCATTTTATTAAAGATGAAAGAATTTAGACAGTTTTTAACTCTCAGTGTCCCGCAGTGTTCGTTTGACTTTGGGACCTGAAGCGGACAGAGTTTTGGACCCAGATTACTCCGCGAGGCTCCTGACTACCGTAGCTGTAATGCTCCGACAATCCATCAAGCGGTGCGGCGTCGTAGCTTACCAAAGTCGTACTAAAACATTTTTTGACAGATTTTTGAGCGCCGTGTACCACATAAAATCGGTTCGAGGTCAGCAAGTACAACCAGAATTCATACATAAGGCTCACCGGATTATAAGGCGCACTGTCGAGTTTTGATAAAATTAAACGATTTTAAGTGCGCCTTATAGTCCAAAAATAGGGTACCTTATAAGAATAGGTTGTTATAGTTAGAGCAAAGGGTGATTCTTCTTTTAAGGGCATTAAAATTCAAAGCATGAAACACAATCTACACGCATTGCATCAAACTACCACGTGCAATATGGAACGGAAATCTGCAATATGATTTCTTTTTCTATTTTCAGTATCGCACTGCATATCTCAGCTTTGGTTAAACATTATATTTACTTCTTTTCTTTTATCTTTCCTTTCAACAGTGCTTACTTAGATTGTGAAGTTTACTTTCAGTGGGCCAAAACTTTAATCCACCGTGAGTGAGGTAAGCAGGATTGCATGTTCGGTGTATTAATGAGAGCACCTTGGAGGGCTGTTAATCTAGTAATGGCCTCTGAATAACGTGAGCGCCGATGAAACACCTCTGTGTATTGAGCTGAGTGGAGCAGGGTTTAACTAATAAAAAGTGACAGTAACAAGAAGACTTATCTAAAGCCCCTTTTTTTCTGTCTCTCAGCTCCCTTGCATTAAAAAAAAGAATCCCCTGCGACTCGAGGAGGCGTATTTCTTCTGAACGTGAACATGAACCAGTGTCCATAGCTTCAGTTAGCAGGGCCTGAGGAGGCAGCGGGCAGGGAGAGGCACTGAGGCAGAGAAGATGGATGGCTGTGGAGACCGAAGCTGACACTGTGTGAGAAAAGCAGCTCTCAGGTGCTGCACCTGCCATCCATCTCACTTCTGACCAGGCAAGGCATGAGTGACACTGTTGTTTCACCTTTTGCATACTCTTCATCCACTTAAGGGGCGCGTGCACGCACTTAAAAACACTAATGCACAAGACAATGCCCACAAGAGAACCGGCCCCAATAGTAGACATCTACACTTTCAAATACACTCAAAGCGAGCCTTGATTGCCCTCGGCCTTCATTAGCCCTCTCCTTTTCCTTATTTACTGTTTGTAATGCAGTGTTCTTTAGACTTATATTGATTGATCACAGACACATGGCCAACAGAGCAACAATCAAAACAGCGCACATGCAACGCAAAGAGCACAGAGGCTGAGCTTGATCAAAGACCTAGAAGATATCCTCCAGCTCGCCCAGATGCATTCCATCATCAAGGCTGCTATCGAGATGCTACATAGGGTTTGTAATTACTTCGCTGATATAATTTGTGTTCCCATCTTTAGCTTTGTGAGTGCATCACTGCGGGGCCACAGCACCACAGTGAACCCCAGTGCAATCGGAAACAGATGCAATCGTTAATTATGCAGGCAAATGTCCACCGTTTAGCCAGTCTGATGGCCAGCCATCGGCAACGTGCTTATCGTACTTATGGAGCAGTTTAGGGAGTTGGGGAGATGTTCATGCCAACACTCCTGCCAGATGGCAGGCACCGCAGCACTAAAATGGATGTAAAAGCCCTATTTGTCACCGAGTTGAATGATTAGACCCGTGGTTGAAAAGCTCACTGACGCGGTGTCCTGTTGATACAGAAACTCACTGTTAATTTATTGCCTCAATGCTACTTTTAAATAAAGCCATTAGAATGGGGGAGCTGGGGGTACTACTGAGTCAGATTACTGAATTTAAATAGATGTTGAGACGAAAACGGAAAAATACACTCATACTTGCTCATACTTCATTCCACTCAACTGGGTAAAAGGATAATCTAATTGCCCTTCCTGTGGGTAGCGCGATGACGGCAGTACAACACTTTATCTGTGACCTTTACAAAAGCCTCGCTGAGAGTGACAGGTTCGTTTTTGCCGTGACGGACGGACAGGTGTGGCTTGTCTTTTCTCAATCAACCTCGAATTTGTATTTCCCTTGACTGGAGCTATAGCCATCAAAAACAGGTTTATCATGTTGATGAGAGAGTATTAAGTAAAGCTTAATGGAACATTCAGACAGTGATAAAGCACACAGACAGCTGTTGAGGACTGGATGCACAGCGCTTCTTAATGTGCTGATAAGCTGGCTGAGGGCTGCACTGTGGAACTGAGTATGGAACTTAAAGATACAGTCAATATTTTTAAGTTAATGGTCCAAAAAAACATGGATGTAGTCACCAACACGTACAGAAGGGACTTCATTTTCCTTTCTAACGATGTTGCCAGAGAACAGAAGAGTAGGAGAAGAAAGGAAAGAAGTGAGGCAGCATTAATGCTTTCCTTTTGGTTCATTTGTGTATGACTGGGTAAATGAATTAAAGCAGGAATGATTAAAAGTGACACAATAAAAAGAGGAAGCAGGGATTGGTTTTTGGCTCCGTTGCCTAAGCTAAAAAAAACCCCAAAACAAACAGGAAACCAAATAATGAAATTAAGTACATGGTCTAATCTTAAAAAGCAACAACAACAAACAAATGTGAAACTATTTCATAATACTTCTGGAAATCCAGCAACAGCTGAAATATTTGATACCTTCAGACTCAAGTTTGCATGTTTCCTTTTGCAAAAGAGCCGAGTACCTGAGAGAAATGTTGCTTCCTGACAAGGACGACAAGTGCACCCATGCACAGCTGTCAGCTCAGATAATATGGTCCTTTTCCAGCATTCACAATTGAATTAAAAAAGGGGAATTAATAATCCATGACTGTCTGCTCACCCACTCACCTTCAGTGAAGCACGCATGAGCAAGTCGAGGCGGAAGTCACTTTTAAAGTGTTTGAGGTATTGATTTGACTCTGTGAGTGCAGACTGTCCAGGAACTGGCACTTCTGCACTTCGGTGCTGCCTTTAAGGCCGGTTCTTAAGTCAGGACACCTTCCTGGACTTCACTCAGCAACAGATTTATGACACTCTCAAACAAAGCCAATTAATAAGTGAGTCTTGTATGGAAAATGCATTGGACGCCTCCTGTCAGACAATAATTCACTGACTTGGAATAAAGCTGATAGTGTCTTGAATAACAATTTGTAAAACCTGCCTCTAATCGGGTCAACGTAAATCTCTGCTTGTCTGCGCTGACAGCCAACCTCGACAAATGTAGCTTTGCCGCCGCATGCTTCTGTTTGATCTTCGCCTGGATGATGATAACAAAAGGCTGCAGATGACCGTGAAAGCCATCAATGAAACGGTGAGTGCGGGTTGGAAGCATTTAATTTAAATCCAGTTTTGAGGTGCCAATCTCGCCGCGTTGCATCATTTCACCTGTAAAAGGGAAGTAACAGACTGACGTCTTGAGAGACAGCCGTGATATTAGGCTAAGGATAATTAGTCAGCTGGTTGAGGAATTGGTTCTTGGGAAATATGGAAGGCTGTTTTTTTTAAACATGTCTGTATAAATTTAGCCTTCATTACCAAGTATGTCAGAGGTCTCCAGAGGAATTACAGTCTTTTTAAGATGGTTCTACAAGTGCTCTCATCTCTATTCAAAAGCATTCTGCATTGCAAAGTGAGATGGAGCCATGCTACTAATCTCCGCGATCTGCATACACTCTACAGCACTGTGCACTGATCCTGAGCATACCCTTTAAATAAAGGAAATAGGTATATGGTAGGTATATATATATGAGGTATATGGCACACAGTATTATTTGCTCCGTGTTAACCTTGATGACTCCTGCTGTTAAAACTGCTCTTAATGCTTTGCTGCTCAAAATAATCCATCCCATTTCCAGGAAAGATGGTTAACAGCTATGATATTTCCAGACAAATGTCATAATCCATACTAAATCTCATTTCTTTCAATATTCGTTTATATTTGATGGCAAAGGATTTGGGTAAGAATTAGGGAAGATGACTAATACTATTAGTGAGCCGTTCCCCATTCTGAGGTTTTGCTGACCAGATGATTTCAACTTTGCTGAAATAACAGGCCCATGTAAATCGGGGACAGAGTTTCTCTTATAATACTGCAAGCATGTGGCCAGCCGTGACATTGCTGACCACTGCAAACTTCAGGGAGGCAAAAAATTCAATTTTACCTGAGAGTGAAGTTAGTCAGCTGAGCAGAGCTGGCCATGAGTATGTAGAAGGTGGCGATGTCAGTCTTCTTTAGAGGTTTGGAGGATGTCCGTATGACGATGGCATTGCCGAGCTTGAGGCGCGAAAGCGTTGCCATCCCCTTAGGCACCTGCAGAAGACGCACGCTTCCAATCCTCTGCATGGGAGTGACAGGAATAAACTCTGCCTGCTGCTGTGAACCCCCCCACCGACTTCCATCCACAGAATTGCACTTCCCTCTGACTTTTGGCTGAGCCTGGTAGTACAGCTCCACAGGGTTCCCAGCAGATGGATCCTGCCTCTCTCTACTGGTGCCCTCTGACCCTGGAGCAAACCAGCCAGGCGTAGGAACCAGCTCGGCCATGCAGGTCCCCCTCTCACCTCCTATGGCACAGGAACCCCTCACCTCCTGGGTTTGCCAGAACGCATACACCGTCACACATGGTAGCGCATCCACAGCGCCTTCCCCTCTGTTCCAATCCCTGCCTGCAACATAGAAGAGCACCCTGACTTTGGGCTTGGAGGAGAAAACCCGAGGCGTCAGGACAAAGGCCTGGATTTTCCAGTTAAAGGTAAAGACCTCTGGTGCATTGAAGAGCTTCACAGACTGGACCATATCTAGAGGCACGGGTTTCTCTGCGGACATGGTGCGATAGCTGGCGTTGACCGCCGGCTGGCGGCTGGCTCGTAAAATAACAAAGGGCTGGATGTGACTCTGCATGCTGGAGTTCCTCATGAAGTCCTGTCCTACCTCTTTTAGGAAGAGGTAGTCAGCATCCTTAACTTCGTAGCTGACCGGCAAGAAGACAGGGAAAGGCACTGGGCTCTTGTTGTCGGTCAGTTCTTTACTGCTCAAATCTGAAAGAGGAAAATTGAAAATTACACTACTGTTGCAGGACAAAACGTTTACGCTACTTCTGAATAAATCTACAAAAACTGGACTGAAGGATTTCACTTTTTTGTCACATTTGAAGACCGGCAGTGTCCCCGAAACACACGAATATCAAAGTCATACAAGGCCAACTGATCAACTGAGTGGGACTTTAAAATATTAGACTAAAAGGCCTCTGGCCTTAATCTTAAAAGTCCTATAGCACAGGTGGAGCAGATGTTAAACTCTTTGGCTTTGTCACCAAATTATTGGAATTGTAAAAGGTTACGAACTGTATTTGTTTTATGAAAAAAGACAACATTCCCAGTGTCCTGGTGTCACATCAGATTGCTTTGATGTGGCCTTAAAATACATTAACAGAGAAAATCTGAAATAAAATATGAAGTCAGGATGAGACCAAATAAAAGATGCTGCTTTCCCCAAAAGTCAGATCAGCCCGTTATTAGCTGAGTTGTAACAATCCAACATCGATTTGTTGACGAAAGCCTTTTTTCCTGCACAGTATGTAATTGTTTCCAGGTAGTTAATAGATTTCTATGGAAATAATTTTCCAATATCGAAATGCTCTTTAAAAAATGTCGCCTGCTGTGTTGTCACATTCAAAAGTGTCTCTGTTTTCCCTCCATAGCACGAGAAGGTACAATCTGATACATCTGGCACAAAGTGGAAATAAGCCATCAAACACTGGGATTAAAATGGCTTTTCAGATTGTCTCTAGGCAGGGGGAATAAGTAGTGACAAACAGGGCTGTGCATCATTATATCAAATGAAAGAAAGTAGATTTGATGTAAAAGACCAGCATGCACCTGAAAACATGGTTACTGGTTAAGGTACGCATTTGTACACCAGCTGGTCTGTGTCGGTGTGTTTTGTACAGTGATAACAGGAGAGTTACAGGAGTACTGTAAATACTAATCCCAAGTGTAAAGAATGACCTTTTTGCAATCGCTGTGTCAAATCAATCGAACAGCATAAATGTCCCTTGATCTGATTTCATGGCGAGTGTTTACCACGCTGGAAATCAGCAGAGGTCACTCATGCGTCATGTGTCCTCATTAAGTGTCCATTTTGACAGAATTATGAAGATTATAGCTGCTGACCCGGGTGTGCACTTTTGATCTGGTGGCTAATTGCCCTACTTGGTGAATCATGAACGCAAAAAAACAGAAACATTCATGTTTACTATAACAACCTGGATGAGGCTGCTGTGAACATGGCAGCAAACCCAAACTCAGTGTCTAAAAAAAAAGAGATCAGATCTACAACTACTGACTTATGTATATTCATAAGAGAGTAAATGCCGCATTGAATGCTATCTGCCATTGAATTATTAATCAATATTTATCAAATGAGGAAGGTTTGAAGTTTTTCTGTGTCAAATTTGTTCCGCGTGTCCCTCATGGCTGCCGGCTCTTGATGGGTCCGTCTATCACGACCGCTTCTGCTTTTCATCCTCCCCCATCGAGCCTGTCGAGCTGGCCTGACACTTTGCACGGCAGCGACTGTACTGTACATGTCACTATCATGTCAGCCCAGCAGCCCTCAGAGGACGACAACAGCGTTTATTTCCTCCCCTTCCACACACAGACAATAGTGTCAGTCATGTTCACTGAGTGGGTGACACACTGCATGAGGCAGAATCTGGACCTAGGATCTAGGCTATCCTGGCTTAGCCTTCCAGTGGGCACTGACAGATGTGCTATTTAATACCAGAGCTGGCAGCACCTCCAGTTGGAGTGAATATAAACTGGCTCGCTGTGCTCCAGGAGGGAGCATTCATCGCCGCTGTAAAGTACGTCACATGCAAGCTCACATCTTTATGTTTGAGTTTAATGTACACTTCTTGTCATTTCACATCTTTTTTTTCTTGATAATAGAGTTTCAGTTGGAGCACGCAATCTATCTTCAGACTCCAGAAGCTGTTTTGCTTACAATTGGCTAGAAGGTTCGTCCTTCTGCTTTGCCAATATTTAAGATATTTATCAAGTAGCCAGTGCAAGCAAAACTTCTCCGATGATGAGCGTCCAGCCCTGAACACGAGAGCAAATCTGGCACACCAGCTGTTCCAGCCTCTCAAATCACTCACTTTGAAGACACTGAGCTTCCTCCTTGGCTGAATTAGGGAGCGCATGTGTTACCATGCAGATGTTCACGCCACCAAAAACTGTTGTAAAAACTGCAGCAGGGAACATATTCAGTGGCTTCCACCTTAGTGGTGTACAGTATGTAGGTTAAGTGCTTTCTGTGTGCCAATGTTTTGTTGATAATCAAATCTTTGTTCATCCCTCTCTGTGTCCAAATGAAAATGCTCCCTGCATGAAATTAGATTTACAAGCACTACCACTGAATGTTAGCAGAAAATTTACTTCAGGTAGGATTTCTTACCGAAATGAAAATGAGACGATACAAAAACGGAGCTTTCCATGTGTCATACCGCTTTCTTTCTTTCTTTCTTTTATTTTACTTCAATCATTTGTTCAAAGATACCTAATAAGAGCTTTACTGCCATGCATCAATATGGTCGTGTTCAGTTCTTGCAGTACTTTAACCTAAGAAGTTGGTTTGCTCTGTTGTGCGTGTAAGAAACAACAGTCTGCTTATTTAACAGCTTCGAGACTTCATTCATCGAAGAGATGTTGATTTCAAAATAATGTTTCCCCATCGCCAGCTTTAATAAAAACACTTGTGTCTAATGAGCTGCATTTTGCCCCGCAGTTTGTCTCGTGGCTTTGTATTAAAGGTTTTTCATTTGCACATCAACTAACTGATTTTCAGTGTGCTTTTCTTTTAGCGCTATTTCTTCACTTGTAATCAATCTTTGTATTATTCTAATAAAATGCAAAAAGCCCTAGCATCCATTGTGAATTCTAATGTGCACTAATGGCTTGTACCATATGTGCAAAACAGCTTGCAGAAGTGAGTCGATTCCCAGTAGCATCATGGAAGACAAACGGATGTCTGCGCTGGAATTAGTAATTGAGAGAATGAAAGATGTGTTCATTTGTGGCTCAAAAGTTTCTCTTTCACGCTGCCGTGAAAGGTTTCTTTCCCCTTTTTTTATTTTTTTTTTAATCAGATATCGCATATATGTGCTGTTTATAAATAGAAAGTGTTGGCAGTGGATCAGATGGTAACCGCACTAATTATGCACCTGCATTTTCTTAATCTAATGTTAGCACTGTGACTGTTTATCCTCTGACTGGCTAACCTATCCAATGCATCTAAGTTTAATAGAACATTATAGGTTCTCATTAGGATCTGACAGGTACACTTAGGAGTCCACTTGGGAGATAAACAGCAGCGTGCAACAGAGGGAAGAAAAGCTGTTAGTACATCCATGAATTTTTTAAAAAGTTGTGGAAAGTTAAAGTACCTTTCAGCAAAGCAGTTAATTAACAAAGCGCAAATAGAAAGTGGGAAAAAGGGCAAAAGTTTGGTCCAGCAAGAGGTGGAAGACGTGCAGGAGCACAAGCACTGCAATGTGGTGTCTGCTGGAGCAGGGTGCTAACAGGGTGCTAATAAAATGCAAATTTACAAAGATCGAAGTTTGCTTACATCTGCCCATAACCCTTTAGGGCGTTAGAGTGTGTATTCAGTTTAAACAAAACTAGAATTGAAAAGAAATCATGTTTAAAACCTTTCATGGGTAGTTTATAATTAACAATAAAGATTGGATTGCAAACATTGAAACTGTAATCTAATAACCGCAAAGCTACAAAACCAAGCATGGTCATACACACTTTTAAGTAGAAAAGTTGCCAGCCTGCATAGTCTAGTTAAAGCATCATACCCTCATCTTAAATGCATTATGAGGGACTTTATGATGTGCAAAAACACTCCAATAAATGCACTAGTGATCATATGGCATGTAATGCTCTGACTTGCTGTTGGAAAGACGGGAGAAAATAAAGAAGAGGAGGGAGGGGGAAGAGAGAGAGAGAGCAAGAGAGAGAGATCTAGGGAGGCTTAAGCTTATGCAGTGATTGGTAGGGATTGCAATGTCCAATGAGACTCTTAAAGCGGCTTTAAAAATCTGTTTTATCACAATTTCTCAATTTTTATCGTTTTATCCCCACAAATCAGCCTGCCTTCATTCCCTGGAAATGGTCATCTAAGGCAGTTATAGGCTTTACACAAATGCCTTTGAGATGTGCTTTTTCTTCTTCATTATCAAGTTGGAAATCTAGATTGCCTGCCTCTTGTTTGCCTCACTGTACATGAAAATTGGGTCCCCCAATTTTTTTTTTTAGCAGAAAGCCAAAAGAGAAAGTAATACTTCCACCATGACAAGAAAGGCACTGAGCATTAAAGCACTGCTCACGTTGTAATGTAAACCCATCAAGTTCTTTACCCCTCACTGATTTAATCCTAAATGTTTAATAGGCTATCTTACTCACTGCTGTGGCACTCTCTCCTGCAAGTAAGACACATGTGCTCGTGTTACCCTCACTGGATCGCTGTATCATAGTGGAATAAGATGTAAGTCACAAATGAGGACATTTATGTATTATTTATGTTTTTAGAAGATGCGTTAATCTTTAACGGCATTGCTGAGAGTAGGCCCACCTCCATTCAGTAATATGTACACATGATGGAGAGTTCAGTCTAATAATTTGTTTTCAGCTGTTACAGTGAAAGCCAAAGGTTCTTTATGTTAATTCATTGCACTTTGACATGCGCTAATCTTGAACTCATTTTTCACCTTTCTTCTTTTTTTTAAATTTAAAAACAAGCAAACTAACCACTTCGTTTTCACCTACCTTGTGTAATGACTGCTGTAATTGTTGCAAAGACTATCTGTAAGATCCTCCACCTCTGCCAGTGCGTGCTCATTTTGGCACCCGGCTCTGCACGCTATTCCAGGCAAGTTCCCTGCGTCCGTGCGGTTGGGTTTTGCTTCAGTAGGTTAAGAAGGGGGTCCTTTCATCCATTCCTGCAGTTCGGACGCTTTCCATAATCACACTTGTGCGAGTATAAGTGGTAGTGTAATCCGTATTGCTGGTAAGATGGAAAGCGCATCGAGGTCTGTTCAAGTCCCGGCTGTGCGTAAAAGTTGTGCGTAACGATCCTTGCGGGGCTCTTAGTGTCCGATCACAAGACGTGGGGCTCTTGGGGTGAAACCGTGTGACTGAGAAAGCTACGCTTGGATCATTAATACCCTTCTAAACGAATTATCGCTCAGATTGAGTCGGTCTCCCAGTCTGCCGTCGCGGCTGGGACTCTGCGGTGTTAAACGGTTGAAAGCAGATCACTGACTGTCTTGTGCGCAATCCTCAGGGTACTAAACTCATCATCTGTCACTGTTCACTCGCTCAGGAAGCCACGTCCAGTACGCAGCGAGTAGGATTAACCCTGCCTTGCGTTTGATTGTAATGTCAGAAATGATCATAGGTGCCGGATTTCTGATCACTTAATCTGCTTCAGTCCATGATGACCCACGCTCAACATTCAGTGAAGCTACTATAGTCTGTTTGTGTTTTGAAAGCTAACTGTCCAGATCTCATTAGTGAAAATAACAAACACAAGGGATAAATGGGAATTCACGTGGACCAGTATTTGATTTGAATTCGGTTTTTTCTTTTCTTTAATAATTGTTCTCCTTCGATGGAAGTGATTATTTATATTTGTGTTTTTTTCTTAAATTAAATATCCATTGTTAATTATTATAAAATATAAATGCTGAAGTAGAAAAATAACCTTGGCCTCAATCGCGATTTAAAAAAAAAAATATCCACAGCGCAATTTCACTAAATTGTCTGCTTTGTGTTACAAACGTACTGAAATCGGCAAAGTTGTTTCTTCTTTACTCTCCAAATCAAGGATGATTTAATATACATTGTCTGCAGGCATCGCAACCTTTTCAGACATCGGCTGGTTGAGTGCAGGTTACTATCAGTTTAAACTCTGCCAGGATGTAGCCGGCTCATTAGGACCTGACATCATCACACTTATGTCATTATTATTGTTCTTTTAAAGTGTAGAGAGGAAAGTTCTCTGATCTCTGATCAGTGTGAAACTTGGAAACTTTCACTGCTTTTTTTTTTTTTTTAATATTGTCCATCAAGAGCATAATAAATTCCAATAGTCATCAACCTCATCAGGTGGATTTTTAGTGCCCTCTTATGGTAAAGATGAGTTTCTCTGTAAGTAATCAAAGGTGAGGCACTAGCTATAGCTTGCAGCCCAGTTGCATCAGAAATGAGCAGGTTTCCCACTTATTTTACTTCATTTATTCATCAGGTGACCTGATGAACAGAAGACCAGAATGTATGTATCAGTGACTTCAAATGCAAATGCTGCACCAGAGTGACATTATGGCCTCATGTTTTTGCACAAACCAAGATTACAATAGCTGTTAGTCATCTTTCAGAAACAAAAGCATGAACATACATTAATACCGCTGCAGTAGAACTCGGAGCACACTGACTTATTTTAAGAAAAAAAGTTACTTGTTTGTGTCTTGTAGTTAGGTAAACAAGTCTGTAGGCTCTAAGTGTAATAGGGCTTTATTGACTAATAAAGAGGATTAACCAACATATCAACACACAGAGTGTGTGACCAAAGCTCACGGTATCTGGAAACAGGAGGAAGTTGCCACGAGCTACTGCTGTGAGCATATTTGAGCTCCTCCCTAGCACTGCAGCACTGTGATAAGCAGCAACAGCAGCATCTGTATGTTGGGGTTGCTCCAGTACGCTGTAGCGCTGCCAGAGGATAATTTAGATCCTTTCCCATTTACCTGCTCCTCACACACAGAGACATAGCAGCTACACTGTGTTTTGTATTGAGAAAGACTGAGAAGAAGTATGCCACCCCCAAGGGTGGTGCACTTTCAAACACACACAAATGCAGGACTGGAAACTGTATGAAAATGAATAACTGTCATAAATCCATGCAAATGTTTCATCACGTTGAACAGGCCTTAATAGCTGCAAGTAAACAGAATTTTGCCTGCTATGTAAATGAGATATTTTGATTCGAGGTGCTGGCAGCTAAATGGTTGAGTAATTTCCCAGGCAAATTTTAATTAAAATAGCAGACGCTTGCTGTTATAAAGGAAACAGCCGTCTTTGTCACCGGATGTTGCGCGTAAAGCCAATCACTTGACACACACGCGTGTCACACACTCGCCCGTCATTTCACATGACATTAAGCTGCAAAACAATAAATAAATAAATAAATAAAAACTGTGACCTTGTGGACTTCCGCAAGAGATTTTAGGAAGCCTCCAAGGGGTGCTTTAAGATGCAGAAAGAACATATGGTGAAACCTGTCAAGAATATGGTATGAACACTTACAGGACAGAGAAACATCACAGGCCTCCGGATATGCAAGTTATGAGATTGACATAGATGGATGTCGCGGAAGAAATATGCTAGAGTGGGGAGAGTGGCCATAAGCTTATGATAGATGTGAGTGCCACAAGGAAGGGAATGTGTTTTCAATGTACATCATCCTTCTGCTTGACAGATAGAGGTAACGTCTGCCGAGGTGCATTTAGCCACACATAACGCTCTAATGTTCCCATTCTCATTTTCACTGTGAACACAGAGTGTGCACTAGAATTTACATATCGTTACAATAACATTTTTTGCGAAACATTAAAGGTTGAACATGTGCAGTCACATGGAACTTTCCTGTGTCTGTGGACTGTAGACCTTTCTGCTGGACTGTATTACTACACAAGAATTGGGGTGGGGGGCATTAATAGCTTATACGTTGTCATTTTTTTTTTGATAATAATATATTTGTGGAAATTGATAATCTTTCAATAAATATTCATGTGTGACGTGTGACTGGCTTTTTAACAGTTTTACTGGTGTTGTGGTTAAAGGGGTTTTGCACAATTTTCGGTAATTCATACCGCCACTGGCCACTTCATTATTGCAGCTATTTAATTGTTTGTTAAGGAAACTATCTAATCAGGCAATTACATGGCAGCAACTTAATGCATTTAAGCTTGCAAGCATGGTCCAAACAACCCGTTGAAGTTCAAACTAATTATCAGAATGGGAAAAAAGGTCACTAAGCGACTTTGAAACGTGGCGTAGTTTTTTGGGTCAGATCTGCAGTATTTCAGAAACTGCTGATCCACTGGGATTTTCCTGCACAACCATCTCTAGGTTTTACAGAGAATGATCCAAAAAGGAAAAAAATATACAGTGAACGTCAGTTCTCTGGGAGAAAATACTTTATTCAAGCTGATAACAAAGCAACAGTTACTCAAATACCACTTGTTACAACAAAAGTATGCAGAAAAGCATCTCTGAATGCACACCTTGAACCTTGAAGGAGATAAGCTACAGCAGCAGAAGACCACACCAGATACCACTCGCGCCAGCTCAGAACAGGAAACTGAGGCTGCAATTCAAAGGCTCACCAAAACTGGACAGCAAGAGGCTGGAAAAACATCGCCTAGTCTGACAAGTCTCAATTTCTTCAGCAACATTCAGATGGTAGGATCACATTTTGGTGTAAACAACACAAAAGCACAAATCGATCCTGCCTTGTATCAAGAGTTCAGGCTGTTACAGTGTAATGGTGTGGAGCATATATATTAGAGACACACATGGGGCCCCTTAGTATCAACTGACCATTGCTGAAAGAACGCACCTACCTGAGTATTGTTGCTGACCATGTCTGTCCTTTATGACCTCAGTGCATCCATCTGCTGAGGGTTGCTTCCAGCAGGATAGTGCGCTGTGTCACAAAGCTCAAATCATCTCAAACTGGTTTCTTAAACATGACAATGTTGGGTCCAGTGATGATTTTTCAAATGGCTTCCACAGGCCCATTAAAGGGTGGCTGTGGCTCAGGTGGTAGAGCTGGTCGCCTACCAATCGGAAGGTGGATCGATCCCCGGCTCCTCCTGTCCATGTGTTGAAAAATCACTGGGCAAGATATTGAACCATGAGTTGAGGGGGGTTCAATACCTTGTGCGAGTGTGTGAGTAACAGATAAAACCACTGTATGATTATGTGTGTGATTGAGTAGTAGAAAGAGCTTTGATTGCTCAAATTGAGCAGAAAGGTGCTATATGCGTACCAGTCCATTTACCATTTACTACATTCAGCACATCTCGGTGCAACAAAGCACCTTTGGGATGTAGCGGAACAGGCGTTTTCATCGTGGATGTGCAGCCGACAAATCCGCAGCAGCTGTGTGATGCTGTCATGTCAGCAGGGACCAAATTTGTGAGGAGTGTTTCCTTGCTGAATCTGTGCCAAAATTAAGGACCTTCTGAAAGGTCCACTCGGGTACTGGCAAGGTTGTAGCTAATAAAGTGGCTGGTGAGTGAATATTTGCCTTGTTAGTGAATAACGGTTAACATTGGCCGATTTAAATGCAGTCATTGTGATGCAGCGGAAATACTTGGCAACCACAGGTGTTCCTAATGACATCCTGTCCTTTAAGGTGTAAAGCCATAATTAATGTGATTAGTAACACCTCAGTTGACATAGTTCGAGTGAAAAAGGCCACTGTGAAGAGGATTTATTGACACCACTTGCATATCTGTTAACAAGCTTCAAATGTGAACAACTGTGGCCCAGTTTCAGCTTCCATACACGTGAACAAAAATAAATCAAGAATAATAATAATAAAAAATAATTAATATATTGTATTCAACAGGTGCCTTATCAAACAATATGTATAGGTTATTTTCTTCCAGAAACACAAAAGTAGCAAAAAAAGACAAGCCAAGTGTTAAAATGAGAACATGTTTTACAGATGACAGCTCTATAAAACATCCACAAATTGGTTTGCTGCTTTCAATAAAGGATTTCTAAACACTTCATAATATTGGCCTTGTGAGAAACTTGTTAAAGCTTCTCTGCAATTGAGAGACTTTAACACCTTTGTAAAAAAATTTCATCCAGAGAAGAAGTTATAACTCTGAGAGAGCTGAGTACTAACACTGTGCCAGTGTTCCCTCGTGCTGGGGACTGGGACTGATCTCCATATTTATCCTGAAGTTATCTTGGCCACAACTAGCTTCAAAGTTGGCTTTCATGCAAGCTCTGCGGTGTTGATAAGTTTTGACTAATTGACAGTTATTTTGAGTTAACAAGTGTTGACATTTCTCACATTTCTCATCTGATAAATCAACACCTTTGCAGACAGAGCTCGTTATTCAATCTGCTGAGGTGTTTAATTAGTCCAAAGAAAACTGGCAACATGTTGATTTTTAATAACTCATTATTTATTTCATTTTTTTTTTAGATGCAGAAAAGAGATAATTTTCCTACTCAGCAGGAAGCAGGTTGGGGGCTGTTCAGCAGAGACTTTGGGCTTTTTGCAGGTGGCTGTGGCTATAACTGAACACAGGAACAAGCCGTTCTCTAAAATGTCAGTGTAATTTGAATAAGAGCAGGAATGAAAATCTGACAAGTCAAACTACACCCACCTATGCTTCAGTCTTCTTAAAACTGTGTCACTCACGTCATCTCTTCACGTGACTATAGTTAGGGATACTCCCACACAGAGTGGGTTCTGTAAAGCCACACTTTTTCATCCCATACAGCAAACCTTCAAAACCTTCAGTGACTAACAACCACTAAAGCACATGTTCCCATTATATTCGACAATGGATTTTATTTTTTAGAAAAACCCACAGGCAAATCTTTAATTTGCCGGAGGATTTGTCCTGTTAAATGACAACAAAAATGGCATCTGCGTGTCCTTAACAGACGGGAGATGACTGGAGGCTTTTTTTGCTGTGACATGCATGTATAGTTTCCGCTGCACTCCCACACAAGCTGCGTCTCTCCAAACATTAATGACAAAGGTGTAAAAGTTATGAGGTACAACGCAGAGACCTGAGCAAACACAAGCTCAGATGTGCTCAAATATGCCCAGAAGCCTGATCTTTCGTCAACCCCCAGGGTCCTAGAGGCACACAGTTTAGCTCTGCAGTGTCACCCAGAGGTAGCTGGAAAAACATGGCTATGCAAATGATTATTCAGCTTTAATGACAGCAACACAAATAGGAATGGCCTATGGTCAATGGTCTTGAATAGATTTGTAATTTGCAATTTTATATTTGGACCACTGCTTTATTTGAACAGTACAAAGCAGTGCGGGTTGGGGTTTTTTCTCAAAGTCTTTTGCAGGGAAAATGCTGTCTGCAGCTTCCTAATCTAGCCCAAACTGGGCCATGAGAGACAGCTCTCCATGTTTGGGTTGAATACCCCCAGGCAGCCAAAGACGAGTTTGTTCAGCCTAATCTCCGCTGTGTGATGTGTGACTTCTTCCCCTGCTGTCGTACTCATGTAATCTGCTGTTTGTGCCGCTTTAAGTCCGGGAAGTAGCAACGGGTTGAAGCGGGAAGACTACATGATGGGAACTGTCATCTCTGCCCCATCGATGGGTGCTGCCAGTATCCTGCTAATCCCCAGAGTAATCCCACCACAACAGAGAAATCAAGCGCACCAAGGCAGGCAGGCAGGACAGGGCACTGCAATATTCCAAACAGCCAGTGCATGCTTTAGCACTCACACACACACAAACAATATGCACATATGCAAACAGTGTTAACACAGTGACAGCAGGCGCTTTACATAAAAATTGGCTGTCACGCTTGACGATTGGATCAATGTTTTCAGGTCTCAGCTAATAACAAACAAAAAAAAAAGAAATGTATGAAGCGGCTAAGGACTGTTTGCTGTTTGACTGAAACAGACTCACATCCCTGATAGGAAAAAAAATGACTCAACTGTATGATTGAGATCTGTGGCACATTTCTACACTGCCACATTGTTTCCTGACCTCCTGAAGTGATCCAAAGGGAGAAATCCCGTGACAATCATCGGAAATGATTCAAGCACAAACACTCTGAACGATCAAACCGTCTTTTTCAGTTTTCATTTTGTTTTCAAGCTCGTGGCGGTGGTTCTGTGAAAGGAGAGGATCACAAGGATCACTCAACCGAGACAAAAAGAAAAAAGGGGGAAAAAACTGATGTCACTTTCCTGTGTCATCTCACAGCTGTCTAAAATAGCACAGAACCTAGATGTTTGGCTGCTTCTCACTGCGATGTAAACATGTCTTCCTTGTTATATTTGCTTTGCTCCTTCTCTAATGAGGGGACTTTGATATCTTTGCTGGAGGCCATCTTAGCAGTCAGAGAGATGTCTTAGCGATAACAACATAAAGCGACCATAAAGCCTTGGCTTCTAAAGGTTTGCTTCCCTGTTAAAGGCAAAAGAAGACACATTCTAAGCAAATATCACACAGCTACAAAGTTCATTACGTTCATTAGTTGGAAACTATTTGTCTTTTAGTAATGGGATCATTTGTTTCCTGTTTAGTAACGGAGTAAGCAAAGAGGTTGTTGAGTAAATAAAAATCACTGATGCAATAATCGGGCCTTTAATTAAGCTGCCTACCTCATAAAAGATACATCACCATCCATTCTTTTGTCTCATTCATCTATCATTTATTGTCTTTTTTTTGCAGCACGGCTCCATAAACTGTGCCAGGTCATTTTCTAGTACAGTTCATGTTTCCAAAACTAACTGGGAAGTTTTCTTTGGAGAATCCTGGATATTTTGTGAAACAATGAAATTGATATTTGCTTTTGAATGTGTTGCTGTTTAGACTGAACTACTGTCCTACTGTCATTTCTCCTCCAGCAGTCTCACAGGGGCAATTCAAAGGTGGCAGTACTTTGATGTCTGAGTCGCTGCTAAATATTAGCACAGAAACTCAGTAAGTTAAACTTTAATGTTGAACGCAGACATTTCTGCCAGCATCATTAAATATACCATTTTTTGTTTGATTGTTTTTTCTGGGGTGAAAAAGGAGTTGTTGTCCTTGGTGCGTCATTGTAAATTTAACTGTATAATGTTAAATAATTTAAAATTAAGCTGAATGCTCTTGTGCATTTGTAGATGCAAAACAATAGATTTTTACATTTAGAAAAATGAGCTCACCCTCATACGCCTCAAAGTGGTTTGGTCCATTTCTTAACCTTACTTTGCAAACTTTGCAGAGAGGAATGTAAAGCAAAGCATGTGTTGGACATTGATTTCTTTTTCTTTGTTTGATTTTAACTTCTACCACTTACATAATAAAACTTATTTATGGTTGTAACCAGATTGCATTTTGTTAGCACCATTATCTCCCAGTTGAATCATGTGCTTCAATGCAGCCGCCACATTGTTACCGGGGCAGCAACATCTGCCGTTGCATTGTTTATGTTTATAGCAAGCTGAATTAAGCCACTTTTCAAGTGGTCTGGTATTTTATCCTCTCCTCTTGCACATTCTTCTTGGTTTCCCTGTGCCTGTTGTGCCAAAAATACAAACAGCACTGACACATTTATAATACAGAAATGCCTGGAAGGACCTTTTCAGTGTTTTCCGATGTAAAGGAAAACTTCCAAGAATAATATAATGGATTATAAAGGAACGAGGTTGTTCTTTATGGCAGCATCACCGGCTCCATGACAGCTATAGTGGATTAAATAGTCACTACAATACAGTTCGTGTGACAGCTGTAGAGGTCAGACAAGGGGACTAGACAGACTCTTCTATCTGATGCTGGCAGGATGAGAGGGCCTTGACCTAAATTTAATATGTTTGCCAAAAGGACATGTGCATACTCAGTATGAGGAGATTGTTGGCTGTGCACTTTAACAGTAACAGAGAAGCAAGACTTGATGATAAAGTGATGCCTGTAATGGTAAGAGTGAACGAAAGGGCAAACATGACAGGTTATATAGGTGCAAGGACAATTAAGTACAACGCAGGTGTGCTGCAAAGATATTAATCCAGCTGGAGAGTGGCCCATAAATGCCACCCAAAGGACCGATGAGGCTGATGAGGTTGATGGAGGGGTCAACGTGACTGAACTGCAACACCCCATTGGTTGAACATTAAGGTCATGAGGTGGACCTTCAGAGAATCAGATTGTCAAGGATGAGAAGTGCCGGAGGCAACGTTCAATAAAACATGAGAGCAATCTTCTCACCACGAGTAAAAGTACTCAGCTGTTCAACTCCGGCCAGCCCAAACAGATTTCCCCTGTGGGCCAAAAGCACTGCAGCTGCTCGTTCACCACGGCTGGCAATCCACGCTGCCATCAAATCGACAGCCATTGGCAGAAATAGTGCTGGAAATTGGTCAAACTACCACACAGTATCTGACCTCTGACAAAGCTTATCTTGCACATGAAAACGTATGGCGGTGGAATCATAGTGTCTGTCTGCTCCAGCTCCTCTTTCTGCCTCATTAGTTGCTGATATTGGATAGGTTATCTCAGCTTCCAGCACATTTTAGGGTTGCAGCCGGCTCACCTTATCCTGAAACTGCAGCAGTGGAAAGGTTACATTTTTGTGGCAATATCACACCCCAAACTTTTTTTTTCTTTTTTGAATATCATGATTAGATGTGCGCTCACTGCTTCTCCTGAAAGTTTCCTGTGTAGCAATTAAGGTGTGTCAGTGATGGCTACATCCTGGGTTGGTTCCATAGTGAAGGCTGCCTGCTACAGGGCATGAAATGAGAAGGAGACAGATGATAAGCTTCTCTCTCATGCTCTGGGGAGCACAGTCAGTCATGATGGAATGAATCATGATGGGCAGGAGTCTCTGAGTAGGAAAGTATGTTTTACAACCACAATATGGTCAGACACGCTCATTGGGTTCTTGGAGTACTGGAAGCAAGAAAATCCTCAGAAATGATGTGTGACTAAAGTACAGATGCAGTTTGCTTTCCTTTTTTGAACAATACCCCTTAATTAGATCTGAGACGTACACATGTATTTGTTTAGGTTTAGATTTAATTCACTGATGTAAACGGGCATAGCTGCCTAAAATCAGTACAAGTACAGCAGACTGTAAATATTGAACTTACAAGTCTTCCCTTCAGCATTCTTAAAGACACTCTGAAAGACCAGAGGGGGCTGCACATCTTAAGCCCAATTTCCTTTCACTGATAGAGTGCCAGGTTCTAGGAATTACCTGGCAAAGCGTGATCAGGTCCAGAGGATTAGCAAGAATATTCTCTTCCAGAAGTCAGAGAACTTTTTTCATCTCCAGAGGGTGGTTTAGGAAAAGGCCAACGAGTGGATGTCAGAGCTCAACTTTAATTTATGTATATTTCTTTTCAAGCTAACTCACAACAGCATGACATGCAGTCTGAGCAGTTAGTCAGCCATGTTATTAGATTTTTTTTTTCTTCTTCTTCCTGGAGACGATGGTGTGCACATAAGAAGTTCTAGAACAGGCAACATGTCAACAGGAAGTGAACGAGGAGATATGACATTTTGGGATATTTAATCATGCTGTGTCATACAAATGATCAGGTGAAATGCGTGAATGACTAAATATTCAATCAGAAAAGCTGCAGCAGTGCAGCTGTGCTGCCATCTAGTGCTTCGATGCTGCAACTCGCTGCTTGGTGCCGGGTGGGCTTGCAGCAGGGACATAAAGCTGGACTGCAGTCCTTTATCTCTTATTATGACTGTGTGTGTGTGTGTGTGTGCCTGTCACTGAGGATTGGGCAGATATGTGCTTTTTTTACTCAAAGCATCTTCTAGTGTCAAGGAGCTGCACATGTCTCTAGCAAGGGGAATCCCAGAGAGAATCCACATTTCCATACTCCATATTTAACTCCACAGAGTGTCTGTGTTGGACTTGAAATTTTATTCCACCTCCCTAATATATTAAAATTACAGTTACATGAACATTTACAGCAGAAATACTCTCTACCAAGAAAAGTTCGATAAAAATACTGATCATATAGAAAGGGGCCATGTTCACTGACAAAAAAGCTAAATAAGATGAGAAATGGTCTTTTTGACTTTCTTGCAGTGACTGATGCTACCCCGAGTTAGCATAGCTTAACTTAAGACTTCAGACTGGGGAAATAGATATCCTGGTTCTGTCTAAAGCTGACTAGATCTATAGCAAAAAAAATCTAAATAAATTAACCAACAGGAGATAAATAATAATGGATGTGCAGTTGTTCAGAAAAGTCATGTTCTAAGGTCTTGTAGTTACTGTGAGGCGAGAGTAAGTGTGCTTTGCACAGATAAAACAGTTCAGCTCTGGGAAACCCTCAGGGCGCCTCGGGTTAAAATTTCAGTCATGAAGCACAATATCTCCTTCTTGTGCCCAGACAGAGGCCTTCATCTTCATCCACTAGAGCTATCTACAAATAAAACTTGAATGGCTGCAATTAACTTAAGACACCTCAAATGTGAAAAGAATTTGAAAACATATTTCGCCTGTTAATTTGTCAGTAAATATGACCGCTACAAACCGCATTCACTGCTGCTGTAGGCTTCAGACATCAGCAGGAGCCTGCATATGATAAAAGTCATCATTAGCCCCTAACTTTGCCTTAAGGTAACAACCTTCCATAATTGAACAGTGTGTACTCTCTGAGAATCACACAATTTGAATCTCTTTCTAGGTCACATAACAAGCTACCAAAGAAAACTACACATGCTCAGTTACAGTGCCAAAAGTGGAAGCAATCCTTTTGGACCTAGAGTTGGAATTTCTTTCATCACTTCAGGTGATACAGATGTCACCTTGAGTTTTGTTATTGCTCTGCTGTCCTCCATGGGCGGCCGTTGTACTGTGGCTCCACTCAGTGATTGACTGTGTATGCACCACCAGACGAGTAGCACCAGGACAGAGCCACTTATCACTCCGGGAGCAATGGATGACCCGGGAACAGAGATGCAGCCCGGACCACGCACTGTGTCATCTGTCTGCCAGCTGCCTAGGTGAACCAGAGGATGAGGAGATGAGCGGAACTGAGATTTAGAGCCGGCCCTTCCTCACATTATCTCCCTCACACCATTGCTCATGATGCTACATTTCCTAGAGCTAAGAGCCACTGGAAGAGACTTTACAACTGGGGGATAATGGGGCAGCTGAAGTATGAGGAGAGCCGTGTAACACCATCGGGTCCGTGCTGTTATCGGTATTTCTAATTAAAATTAGACTCCCGCTTTGCATATTTGTCAAGCTCAATAAGTTTGCTCAGAATTGGTGTGTCAGCACTGACGCAAGGGCATATCGACAGCTGTGCACCGCTGCCAGCTTGACAAATGTCAGAACATTTATTCTCAAGGAAAGGAGATTACAGTTTGATCATAAACGTTCCCTTCACCCTTATCCTCAACCTCTTCTGTTCCACAGTGTAAGATTATTAAAGCTGTGAGTGCATCGATGGATGACCATGCCAGGGGATTAAATCATTTGCCACAAAATAAATGTACATCTGATCAAACAAGAAAAACTCAGCTACAGCATTCGTACATAAAATACGATTACTTTCCATAATTGTCTGCGTGTGCGGTTCAGTCAGCTGTTCAGTCTGCTGTTTGTGAGGCAGCAAGCCACACAGAGAGACACATCTTTGCATCCAGGGAGAGCACAGGGAGAAATGGTACATTCAGTGGAGCTGACAGGTACCTACCTCTGATTCAGTGTGATTTATTTCCACATAGAGCCCGGACGTGGCCAGTGCATCGGCAGGTCAATTTGGTTTGGGTAGAAGAAGAGTTCTCTGATTGATAGAGAGAGGGCCAGCCATGTTCTCTACGCTTGGCTCCCCCTCCATCAGGGCCCCTGCTATGGCCGATTAATCCTAAACACACAGAGTAGAGGCTCAGGCAGGGATTTTGTGTGCATTTGTGTGAGCCTCCATCTCCAACCTAACACTGGCTTTTCCTGGAATTAAACTGTTTCATGGTCGTTTTTGGAACTGGACTTTTATAGACAAATATTTCTGGTATTTACATTACCCGCATTAGTTGCAGAAATGGTGTCGCCACTAGATGGCAACATCTGCTTAATTAAAATTGTTTTTCTATTACTGTAAAACAGATGAGTTAAACCAATATTATGTTAATGAGTTATTTGGTATGTCAGAAAGTTCTAACCAATAATTAAACATAAACCAACCTTTCTCCTTAAGACTTATATATTTTAAATGTCTAATTTCCCATCAAATCGTTGCCCAACTCTTTCAAGAAACCGACATGTGCCTTAATTCATATAGGCTACTTCTATATGGAAACCACATTAGATAATTAAACATTATCAAACCTTTATTGTTTAAAATCGCTACCCTTCCATTAACCTTTAGCAGCTAACACCATGATCTACTATCTTAGCAGTTTCACCAACATTAAGGTAACGATTCTTTACATTTTTATGTCTTTTTCTAGCTATTTCCAGCATTTATCCATTACCTTTACCTCTTCTTTTTAAGCATTGCCCGTTGCTTTTATCAAAGAGTTTAGCATTGCCGTTAAACCGTTTTAGCTAGCTATTGCTGCTAACCAGCAATAGCTTAAAGTGCACTCCACCATCTTTTCCCTATAAGAAGTATGGCCTACCCTTGTTTGTTTACATTTCCAATTACATGTGGCTTTCATATATGCAATCAATAAAACAAAATCATTTCCTTTTTTCCCCACCAGACTACTCTGTAGTCTCAAACACAGGCAAACGAAGGAGAGCAAAGAGCCGCTGACTCTCCTCTTTATCAGTCAAAACAGCATAGCCAGGCTGCTCCCTGTAGTTCACTTCAATCCCTCTCTCTTGTGCCTCCTCTCAGTGCACACCCTAAGCCTGGGTGTGTTGGATGAGACTTAACAGACCCTACGCCCCTCACAACTTCAATGCGCAGTATGGTCAAAGTGCTGCCTGATGTCCCACTGACCCAACCCACCTCTGAGTATCCGTCCAAGGTCTCTCTTTTTGTGTAACTCCCCCCAACCTGCCCGCTTTTTATCCCTTTATCCAGGCATGAGATCAGAATTCCAGATCAGGATTAGGGTCAGCATCGGGATCAGTTGTATCATATATCTACTGAAGCATCTCTCTGCATCTCTCTTTCTCCTCTCTGGCTTTGCTCGTCCACCAAAAGATGTTTTATCTTGTGTTCTCTTCTCTCCTGGAGATGAGTGACACATCAGAGATAGCCTTCAACTAATCCTATCCTTTATACTCTGTGAAAGGAAGTTGCGAGCATGTAGCCCTTTCACACTTTATTTGTTGTCATTTGAAATCATGCTTAATGTCATGCTCAGCTTCAGATGGGGAGCTCTGTGCCTTTTTAAATTTCACTCAGTCTCTGATGCACCGCTCAGAAACAGGGGAAACTTAAACATCAAAGCGAAACAAGAATTCTTCCAGTCCAACTGTTGGTTATTGTTGGAGCTGCTCCAGGAAAATAGCTGATGATGTGTTGGCTGCGTGCCCTTCAAAGCCCACATTGTCTTTGGTTGGAGAATTTTAAGTGTCATCATTATACAAAACTGGAATCAGACAAATCATAATATATAACAGGCAGTGATCACCTTTTTTCTTTTCTATTGGCATAAAGAATTATATACCTGTGTCTGGTACTGATACATTTCTTTAGGTAAATGTAAGTCATCTTAGCTGGAACTGTAGTCACTAAAATCCTTCACTTGTCAGCTGTGTGTGCCCATTTCTCCAGCAGGTGGTGCTGCAGAGCTGGCAATCCTACTGAAAGAAGCTCAGGCGAAGTTTTAGACTGTAAGACACATCCCCAGACCTTTACCTGACCTCCCTTTCCTCTCTCGTGCACACACCTTGTCAGCGGGCTGGGCCTTATCTCTCTCTGACTGAACTAAGCCATTGAGTGCACACTTGACCTTGTCATTATCTTGTACCTGGCTTTGTTTTCACTCTCATTTCTCCCTTTTGTGTGCTCACTGTCTTTCCCTTTCCGCACTATTTGAACAAAGATAAGAGCAGAGTCTATTTACTAGCTCAATAACCCCTCCCGTATACACCCAGACACATTTTGTTTATGAAAGAAGCCTTGTGATATTTCAAAGAGAGGCACTGACCATGACCTTCTGTGGTGGTTTGAGGTTACCAGTCAGCACCACTAAGTCTTTTTCCTCTCATTTGCAATGCAGAGGAAGGAGAGAAGATCAAACTTTTTATGTGAAGTACAAAGAGTATTAAATACTGTATATGGGCTCTCTTCCTGTTAAATGTTAAACACAAACTTCATGGAGTGAATTAACTCGGGCTATAAAGAATGGAAGGAAGAGGAAGAAGATTTAGGCCATTAATCTTGACATTTATGTGCAAAATGAAGCCTAAATAATAAGAAAAATATAATTTGCAGGGGACAGTAACAACCCCAGCTTCGTCATCAAAGCTTTCAATGTCCCTGTGTCCTCACAAAATGTCAGTACTGTGCAAAACTACAAAGGAAACTCCAGCAACAAGTGTTTACTGCTGTTAACCTTCATTCAAATCCACTATGCTTTACCAGTGTCCAATAGTCAATATAAGACAGCTGGAATAAACCAAGATTCACCTAAATGATATAGCATTTATGTGGATTTTTCTGTTAGTAACATTGTAACCTGTAACCATACTCTGATTCAGTTTTACTTATATCACAACAACAGTCGGCAAAGATGTGATTCAGCCAGTGGTTGGCTTACTTCATCTATGTCAGTATGAAGCTGTTATGACATCTTTGAAAATAGACTTAACCATTTTCTTTCTAAGAGCTAAATCAGAGGATAGCACTACTGTAGTTGTCGTTCTCAAAGGGGGGGGGGGGGATAGTTTAATTTTAATGGAGAGAGACAGAATATCAACCAACAAAAACCCAAAAACAAATTTCATAAAAGTTAAAAACTGTTTTCTGTTTCAATGAGTGAAATAAGTATTTCATTCCCAAGCAAACATGACTTATTTCTTAGTACCATAGTTGTACAGCAGGAAGATCTTTCTTGTAGTTGGTCACCAGGTTTGCATCTCAACAGAGATTTTGGGCCATTCCTCTTTACAGAAACTCTCTAAATCCTTCAGATTTCTTGGCTTCCACTGGGCGACTCGAAGATGCAGCTCCCACCACAGATTTTCTATAGGAATAAGGTCCAGAGACCACTCCATGACCTTAATGCGCTTCTTCTTTATCTTTTCTTTCGTTGCCTTGCCGATAGGTTTAGGGTCATTGTTGTTCTGTAAGACCAATCCACGACATGTCTTCAGCGTTCTGGCTGAGAAAAGGAGGTTCTCATCCAAGATTTTACAGTACATGGCCCCCTCCACTGGACCCTTAATATCGTCAAGTTGTCCTGTACCGTTAGCAGAAACACAGCCCCAAAGCATAATGTTTCCTCTCCTGTGTTTGACTGTTGGGTTGGTGATCTCAGGGCAAACTAAGCTTTTCTCTTCCTCTAAACACAGCGGGTCAAGTTGATGCCAAAACGTTTAGTTTTATCTGACCACTTCACATTCCCCATTCTCATTTACATGTTCACTGGTAAAATGAAGACGGGCCTTTTAGAGAAAGGAGAAATTGGGGCCACCACCTGACTGAGAGCAGTTGATTATCCTTTTATATTTCTTCTACAATTGCACGATCAGTTGTCATCTTCTCACCAAGCTTCTTGTTGATGTCTTGGAGCCTGTTCTAGCATTGTTCAGGTCTACAATCTTTATCTTGATGTTCTTTGACAGCTCTTTGGTCCTGTTCATGGTGGTGAAGTTGGAATGAAAGAAACTGATTCTATGGATGTTTTAATAATTAACATTATTCTGCTATTCATGCTACATGATAATTTAGAAACACAGAAATAATATAAGTAGTTATAAATTTAAAAAACAATGGTCTTGTTTCATATTCCTTTAGTGTTATATATGTGTTTATCATCCATTTTCCCCTAGTAGTTACAAAATCCTGAGCATCAAGGAGGAAATACACATGTAGAAGACAATTAACAGACTGTAACTGTATCAGACAAACACAGTCTTATGTTAAGGTAAAGGTAAGTTTAACACACTGAGCAGTAGATATTGTCTATTTTTGTCACATCATGTCTTCACTGTATTATTCTTACAAGGAATAAAATGATGGAAAACTGTGATTATCGTCAAATAGCTCACTCTCACCAAAACTGACTGATGTGGTCGAGTTTCAAAGTCGCCTTCAAAATTATAATACATATGCTATCCATAGAACAAGCCTTAATATATCTGTCCATCAAAAAGTTCACTGACAGCATGAGGAGAGATGGTGCTCGCCTTTGATTCTAATGCTAAGAGCATAATTTATGTAAGATGTTTGAATGGCTTTTTGAGTAAGAATAGATTAAAGGAAGTTTCATGTTTGAGGAGCCAAAAAAAAGTGCCTGCAAAGCAGTGTTTTTAAAACTCCTGGGGCTGCAAGGGGGTTGATGAATGAGCCGGGTGCAAACGGTGATTAGCTCAAGCCATTTCTAACATCTCTTACAATACAGTTTGCCAATCACAGCTATCCCTTGAGTTTTCCTCTTTTCTGTAAATATGAAAGACCTTGTCCTGACAGTGACTTCAAACGTGGAAGCAGCGGGCCCCATACCAGGCCATGGTGACTCCTTCAGCCCTTCCTCTCCACACATCAAACCCCAGCTGACAAAAGCAGCTCTAGGTGGCATAATGAGACGCACTGCTCCTTTCAACTATGTGTGAAGTGTGACATTCTCTGTCTTCTTGTATCGTGTGTTGACACTGCAGCCTGTATGTGAGGAGCTGACCGGATGGTACAGAGAGCCTTCCACCTTTTAGACCCCAGCTGCTGAGTGCCGCATCGTAGATCACCGAGTTCCTTAGGTCAACAGCCAGAGTCGCGCACACAAGGACGTGCTTGACACAAAAGCAGAGGAGAGATGCTTTGGTGTGGCCCTTCCCACTCCAGCTTCCTCAAGATTGTTTCATCTGCGTCCAGAGGAAGGTCTGCAGACTAAAACATCAACTGATAACTCAGTGTTCGCAAAGCCTTTTAGGATAGGCGGCACTGGTGACCTGTAAAACAGTTTTATGCACATGTGCACCCTATCACCCTGCCTTGTGACTGACTCTCTGGTATTTTTTGGAGGCGATGAAGGCCATTATCGGTGGATTAGCAGAAAGTAAGATGGTAGGGGCGTGTTCACAGTATTGGAACATGCCGGCCTCATTCTCCCTCAGCTATATCCTGTGTATTACCCTTCTCCACTGGGCAGTAGACAAGATCCAATAAAGAAACAGAAGCTCTGGAATCGAAATCGAAAACTGCACCTCTCATGTGACTGCTAAGCTATAGCCAAAGGTACTTAACCAAAGGTTTAGTAACCTGAAAGAGCCCTGCATGCTTCCAGGAGGGAAACCTGGGGCTCTGGATCTAAATACATAAAGCAGCAACATGTCACAGCACAGCCAAAAAAAACAAGAACTGGTTTCTGCTCCCTAGAGGAAACTGCACAACAGCTGCATTCACATCCATCCACAATTAATCCCAATTCATAGCATAATACATTTGGACAGGTGGATTGATAATCTAACATGTCTTCCCTTTTTTTTCACGATTATTATTCTGTTCCTCTCACTTTTCAAATAGTTTACTTTAAGCCCGAGGGTGTGAGCCATCGTGTTTTCTATGGCTGCCGAATTACCTCAGAGCGCGCATTGCCTAGCTCGCTGCCAGAGAGGGAGGCGAGTATTGTTTTCATGACAGAGATCAATGGGTGGGTGAATGTGCTTTAATTCTGCAGGAGCTCCTCTCCCAGGCTAATAAATGCAAGCCTCCCCGCTGACTGAGCTGTCGTGCTGAGCCCAGCGGGGGTCAGCCTTTTTGTGTTCCTGTGCCCAAATTATGGAACCATCAATACACTCCCTGGAACCAGTCAATAGAAACCCGCTTTGTGGCCGAGGGGAGACCAACTTCAAGGCCGATAAAAAAAAAGAAGAAGAAGAAGAGAAAAAACTAAGCTCTGACAGATT